GCAGAGCTCATACTGAATCATATAGATAAAGTGCACAGCAATTGTCAAAACATGGTATTTTTGAATTCTCGCACATCTGTGTACTGGAAAGGAATCCTTATTCCACATAGATTTTACAATTACTGTAAACACGTAAGAAAATAAGAACTTCAAAGCAAATCGGTATGAAACCTGTTTTAAGCAACCATTTGCAGAAACTACCACTGAGTTCACGTGAAACACGTAACAACTACAATATATGCTTACAAGAAAATATGGCCCATTATGATTGAAAAAGGTCACACTGATCTCTATTTATGAAGAAGTCAGCTTCAAGGTCTTCACTGGCTCAATTTATTAGTCACAGCACCTTTCTGAGTAGGACTTCCAAAATGACATCCACCTAGACTGCAGTGAAAATCTGTGTCTTCTACAGAGAAATGCTTGTCTCCAGACAGCAATTCTGAGTATCTGATAAAATCTACAGGTTCATTACCTACCCTGCTTTCTGCTCCTGCATTATCTCTCAATTTCATCCAGTGTAATAAAGTACTGTGGAAAGAGAATACAGTGTGGCTTGACAAAAGAGGTCTGCTGAGGCTAGCTACTGAAGATAATGCAGGTAATGCAGACCTTAGGATGCATGTCATTGTAGTTGAGGACATTTATGATAAGCCATTTAGAGCAAAAAAGATGTTAATTTTAGTGTAGCCATGTCCTTAGTCCCAGGAAAATTCCCAAAGCAACAAAGTGCAGTTACTAAAACCAGCAAAATTCTTGGTATTAATGAGGATTTCTTTCTTCATGGGATGATATAAAGAGATCTAAACTTTTGTCATTTAAAATTAAAGTTTTTCATAAAGGAACTACCATGAAAATTGACACAGTCTTAGGCAAAAATAGTTACACCCCTCCTGGAATAATTCAAGTCTCAGTGTTTTAACTGATGCTTTACTACAGCTTTTTTTTTGTGTGTGTGTGACAGTGAAATTACAAGGATAGCAAATTAGCTGCAAGAGGGTAATCCAGTCAGGTAGAGACAATAATGATGAGTGAGGAACTTAAGGACTTCAGAGGCTATATGTAAAAATAACATTTGAAATGGAGTTAATTACATCCATGTATTATTAGTTCAAATATTGTGGTCATAAATCTGATTTAGAAACATGTTTTCATGTTGCATGCAACATAAAAATATACATCTAGGTTGTGTTGTTAAATCTGTATGAGATTCATTACTGATTTTACAGCACATGACTGTAGGTGAAGCAGAAAGCATGACGTATTTGCTTTCCAATACAGGTATAGGTGATCTGCCAGTGCAAACAACTAAATACTGTTCCTAGCCTTCCAGTTGGGATGACATTCCACCTAAAATCCTCAGCACAAGTACCCTCTTATTTGGAATTACTGAGTAAGATTGCTATACTTTTCAGCATTTACTGCATTGCTTCATGTATAATTGAAGTAGTTTAGGACTTAAATGTATTTCACCTTGTCCTGAGGAAAAGGTTGTGTAAATAGAGCAAATGCTGTTCCACAGTGATTCAGCTGATTCCGAAGGAGATTCCAAATCATGTGGCTCTGAAAGCTTTAGAAATAAGGCATCCCCAGGATGTGGGGGTTTATTGCAGTTATTAGTGCATTCTAAAATAGTTCATGAAATAGTTCATAAATTTTGACATCCTTGTAAGACTGATAAGAGTTCTGGTTTCAGGGTCACAATAAAAGATGTTCATAGTCCATCCTGTTTCATTTACCACCCTTCATGCTTCTTTGAGCCGAATCCATTTTGAAAGCACTATCTGCCACATGGAAGAAACAAGAATAAGAATTTTCATATTTATGAACATGAAAATACATGGAATCATGACAGCATACCTAAAGTTATGTGACTTCATTAGAAGAAGATTTTGAGGAGAATAAAAACAAGCAGAAGCATCTTTTATATTTTTTTCTATGACCAAACTTACTTCCCTGAACTCCAATATGTGACTGAGAAGGCTGCTTGTTATTGTCCTGCAGCAGAGGACAGCACTGTACCCTGAGGAAGACCTGCTTTCCTGGTAGACCTGTGAGATGTTGTGTCACTGCAGCAGAAATCTGAGCAGTGTTCACACAGAGGTTGGCAGTGAGCTGACCTGGGATCCCCCTCTGGCACAGAGAAGACTGTGGCCTCCAGGCTCAGCTTGAAGAAGCAGTATGAGCAGGGAGTCTGGAAACCTGGTTACTAACACTCATCCAGATGTTAAACAGTGTTGTTAGGGGGGTGAAGTGCCATCAAGGTATTGGCACCTTTGATTACAGAATTGGGAAAAGCACAGAGATTACTAATGGATTTCTATGGGGACTGCAGGAACACACAGAACACCAGTTCAATTGGAAAAAAATGCTGTCCCGATGGCTGTGACTGTGTCATGTGTGTAGACTGCTCAAATTTCATGGAAATCCCAGGGAGAAATTTTGGTTCATGAGACTGGACAGGCTCCACTGATACTCCACGGTTTGACATATCGTGTCCCTTACTTCCCAGCTACTGCTCCAGCTGGGCTTGAAATCACACCGCACACGCTGGTGCTAGTGAGCTGTGGGGCAAGATGTTACGGATTTCTAACTATACAAGAGTCACTAGTAGAAATCACATGCTCATCCATGGTCAGCCACACCAAGGCTAGCAGTTCAACGACAGTAAGCAGTTTTTCTCCATTGGAGAGCTCCAAGCCTAGCTGACTGCTGTGGAACATTCACCCATATTTTGTGCAGCAGAAAGATCCATCATAACAAAAAAAAACTTTTGGAGTAAAAAAATTAAAATGGTACCCTTTTGATCAACACAAATGTTATTTAACATAGAACACTACTGTTCCCCTGACTTAAGAACGCCTTCTGCAGAGTATGTGAATAAGACATAGAAGCTTTACCTATACCCTAAGAATCTGCAGACCTACAAAAGAAGGTTCATTTGGAAAACTTGATTGGTAGAAGTGAATCCTGAGGATGCATGCTGCCAAAGCCTGACTTTGGGAGACTAAGTGGACTGGAGTGTATGTAAATGGATTTAACAACTAGCTTTTCACCAACTTAATAGGAAGATACATGATTTAGTCACAAAATAAGAAAAGCCCTCTGTTCACACTTTTCTCTAAACACAACTTATAAGAAATATGTTTGACTTTGTATAAGAAATTTATAGAAAGCCTGCTGCATTAATGTTCCTATGTATGTGTATTAGTGCATGGCCACAGTTGTACTTGATGTGTACAAGTTGCTGATCTCATTTTGTTTTTTATTGGCCCGATTTTTCTCTTTCTTATGTAGTGTTTATTTTCATGTTACTTCTGCCTCTCAAGAGAAAAAGGTGCTAAACCCAAGAACTAGAAATGCAAATATTGCAATTTCTTCAAACAATATCCAATACACTTCAGAGAAACCTAAGTGTCAATAAGACGGTATGGTTTTTTGTTGTCTGTTATTCTTTTTCAGTCTCTTTCCCCTTCCTTGAATTAATATACAACAATTATGTCTCTGATAAAAGTGTGCTTCCTTAACTCAAACTACTTCTTGACTGATTACATTCTGCATGTTGGGGGCAGGCTGTGGGTAAGAAGGCAAATGAATGGCACAGTGAAAGGAAAGGTCAGAAGTGGTAGGTAGCATTCTTCTGTTGCTGTAAAAAGGAATTAAATGGTCCTGGCAGTCTTCCCACTCCTCCCTCCCCTGTGAGTAAGACATTATAATTAAAATGGTTTAATTTACTGTGTTAGATACAAAGGTTCAGTGGCACTGAATGAAAAGAATACAGGCTGCTCCAGTGTGGGTACCACTCCAGGCCACAAGTCATACCAGAAAACCTGCTCCTATGTGGGCACCCCATGGGCTGCTGCTTCCTTCAGGGCATGTCCACCTGCTGTGCTGTGTGTTTCTCCATGGGCTGCAGGTGGGTATCTGTTCCACCAGGAACCTCCATGGGCTGCAGGGGCCTCACCAGCTGCAAGGGGAATCTCTGCTCCAGCACCTGGAGCACCTCCTCCTCTTCTTCTCCACTGACCTTGGTGTCTGCAAGGCTTCTTTCTCACTTCTCTCACAGCTGCTGTACAGCATTTCTAACCCCTTCTTAAATACATTACCAGAGAGGTGTCACAAGCGTTGTTGAGGGGCCCGGTTGTGCCTTGCCCTGGGTCTGCTGGAGCTGGTGGTAACTGGCTGTGTCCCACAGCAGCCAGCCCTCTGTGCCCTCAGTCTTGCCATGCAAACCTAAGACCACGTGCTGCAAAAGTTCAGAGGTTTGCTTATCAATAACAGCTTTTAATTTGATTTCAAGCCTAATTGCTACCATTCCAGGAACAGGCTGGACGATAATTGTATTCTTCTTGGATCATCAAAGAAATGCGTTGTGGCTGTTTGGCAGAGCAAGAACTGGGGAGAGTAGGAAGCCTCAGCCCAGTCACTTGGACTAATGTGACCCAGATTTTTCAGTTTGATTCAGCAAATCCCCAAGCCAGAAAAATGGCACGAGAGTCAAGCTCTTTGGAGAAGCCGAATTTGGAAATTCAACCTGGTTTAGTCATTACGCTAATAATAGTTCAGCGATTCTCAAACAGCTGGGAGACAGAGTAACTCCTACCCATGCCCAGCCTGGAGAAAAAAAAAGTTATTCCAAAAATCGTCATGACTACCCCGTTTACACTCCTCGGAGTTCAAGCGGCCAGTCCGTGTGACACCCCCCTATTTCCCTCGAAAGCCGCCGGGACCGCCACCAGGCCCAGGCCGAGCCGCCCGCCCCGCCCCTCGCCGGCCGCCGTACCCTCACGCGCCCCGCGCCGACGCGCGAGGAGGCAGCCCAGGGCGCGTGCGCACAGCGCGGAGGGAGGCGGGGGGGGAAGGCGTGTGGGAAGGGTGGGGAGGAGCCCTCGCCGCGGTTTGACGTCTGGCGGGCGGTGGGCGGGGCGAAGGCCTCGGGGCCCGCCCCGTCCCGCGGAGGGGCGGGGCGCCGCAGCGTGTGTAGCGGGGAGGGCGGGGGCCGGAGCCGGGGCGGCGGCGCTGCTGCTGCGGCTGCTGCTTCTGCCGCCGGGGCACGATGGTGTTCGAGTCGCTGGTCGTGGACGTCCTGAACCGCTTCCTCGGAGACTACGTGGTGAACCTGGACAGCTCCCAGCTGAAGCTGGGCATCTGGGGAGGTACGGGGCTGCCGCGACGCGGGGGGACGCGCCGCCCGGCCCGGCCCGGCCCGGCCCGGCGAGCCGCCTGCCCGCCGCCGCCCTCCGCGGCGCTGCCCGCCCGGCCGCTCGCTCGCTCAAGCGAGGGGACCGGGGCGGTGGCGTCCGGGCGGTGCCGCGCCCTGCACCGCGCTGGGCCGCCTGCCCGGCAGCTCCGCCGCCGCTCCGCTTAAAAATAGAGGTGGGGGCGGGCGGGCTGGGGAGGAGGTGCCCGCGGGGGGCGTGGAGCAGCCGGTTGCGGCAGCGGGGGGCGGCGGGGCGGGAGTTGCTGCGGAGCAAGGGAGAGAAAACCCCTGCCAAATCGCATGAGGTGTAGGAACCTCCGCTTGGGTTCTGGTTTTTGTTGGTTTTTTTTTTTTGTTTTTTTTTTTTTCCCCATGTGGAGCTGCCGTTCCTGCCGTCTCCTGGCTGGGGACGTACCTTGGCTCGGGAGCTCGCGGGGGTCGGGTCGGGTGGCACTCGCGGAAAGTTTGGGGAGGGCTGGGCTGTCGGCGGGGTGCAGCCGTAGCCGGCAGCCTGACGCGGCGCGGAGGGGGTGCGAAACTGAACCGACTGACATTTTCTCTGCCCGGAAATAAGAAACTGAAAATGAACGCCTGGGGTTTTGGTAGCGTTTTAGTGCCGGTGGTGTGCTGGTGGAAGCGAGTGGCCTCGGCAAACAGCAGTGACGTGCCATTCTTGGTGCTGTCATATGTAGATCTAAAATATTTGTTGTTTTTAGCGTTTAAAGTCAGAAGTAGAGCCCGTCTTAGGTAGTTGCAGAGGCTGTGACCAGCTGAGCTAGGCGAGGTAAGCAGTAGCCTGTAGAAATAAATTAGCATGCCAGTTCTGAAGGGAGGAAGGTATTCAGTTTGGATGTGCTCTCTTGAGGGCCCATCAGTAATGTATTTACAAGAAAACATCAACGAAGGTCTCTGTTTTCAGTATGTTTGGGCAAAGTAAGGTAGCATAAGAAGAGTGAGACACAGCAATTAACAGATGCATGTGCAGGGGCCGCTTCTGGATCGGTTTTGGATGTGCATTCTAGGCGTTTGCAGCATCAGCAAAAACAAACGCAGAAGTGCAGGGGTTTTTTACATGTGCGTTCATATGTCTGCAGGTGTGAAGCATCCTTGAGGTATTCCCTACCTACAATTCCATTCTTAGGTACTCGTGTATATGAATCATATTTTGGAAGCTTCTCCTGGAGTTTTTTGCGTCTTGGACATTTATGTTTCATGCTTCTGTTTCCCGAAATGGCGTCTTTACATGGTTTCATCTCTGCAGTAATTTTCCTTCAGTTAGTCAAGGCATTTGTAGGATCTTTGCGAAGTTCAGCCTCTATATGGAGTCTTGCACTGCAACAGCACATGTAACTGCTGGAGAGAAGTTAGTAGTTGTTGATCTCTAGCAGTAAGGCCCAATATAGGATATTTATTATAGATTATGTGTGTCTTCTTTCAGATGATTGAGTTATTGCATCTTTCAACAAAATTGTGTTGAACTAATTGTTTGATCTGTACTTAACAAGTACTTCAGTTATCATACTTTCTTCTTTCTGTTCGGGGAAGGCAGGCAAAATATTTAATGTAAAATATGGAACATTCTGTAAATGTTTTGGGCAATGTTTATACATTACAGAAAGGTAGAAGCTTATTTTTCCAGTTTGTAGATTGCTGGTGGTTACTCTTGACAGTTTCTGTTTCTACGAGGCAACTCTTAACCAGATTAGATGAGCATTAGCTCTCTCACTGTTTTTAAAAAGCTAGATAGATCTCACTAATTTTTACTTTAGAGTTTTAATATTCAGCTATTACATCTTCTTATGTACATGGAATTTGATTTGGGGATTCTTCTATTATTTTCTGTTCAAGTAGTTTTAATATTTTAGAGACTTTAGTATATTTTTTCTTTAAACTAAATTCCTTTCTCCTCAGTAAACTGCCTTTGTACTAGAATAAAATCAGTTTTTCTTTATGTAGTCTGTTACTTGCTTAGCCTAAAAATTGATATTTGAAGCTTGCTCAGAGATGCCCAGAACTGCTGTGTAGCATTGTGGAAGCATCACCTGTAGAAGTTTATTTTTTTGTGGCCTACTGCATGAGGCTTTCACTTGTATTTGCAGCTTAAGCTATGTTTATTGGCATGTGCATCTGCAATATTTCTTTCATTCCAAAGATCTTGACAGACCTAGAAATTGCGTCCCTCTATCTAAAAGGCAGTAACAAATATTAGTACTGGTAGCAGTAGACTACTGTCTTTATATGGACATCATCACTGAATAGTAGATCCCTACAGTCACAGTATATATAAAGTCTACTGATAATTTTATTCATAATTGCTGAAATTGTGGAGCTAAATATTTTTTTTTAGAAAAATAGTACTATTTTTTTGTCTCTGTCTTTTGTAAATTTAATACTTTCATGCTTGTCTTCATGCTCTGAAAGTGTTTCCATTGCAGCTATACGTTTTCATACAGTGTCTTTATGTGTCATGATAAACTTGTTAAATTTTACATAAATCATGTAGTCTTGAAATTACATTGTCCTAAATCCAGTCAATACTTTAGTACTGGTTAAAGGGAAAGTTTTCCTCCCTGTTAAAAATGGCCAGTGCTTTTTGGATGCTATAGCACTGCATGGGTACTATATACTTGTATATTAAATTTTAAAAGGCACATATTTTTTCGCATCTAAGTTATTAAATACCCAAGGGAGTTTTTTTAGGTGCTGTAGGAAATGAGTTATGTCCTTGTCATATTTTGCAGTTAGCCTGTTTAGATTAAGACTGGTAACCTGTTGTTAGACTCTGGATATATGTACAAAAACTAACTGTATTGTTTCAGCTTCTGCAAATTTGGAAGATTTGTTAATGACCTTCTAATAAACATGCTTAACATTCATTTTGGTTTTGCATAATGAAAGAATTCAGCAGGCCGTATTAAAGCTATCCAGATTCAATCTGTGTAGTAAAGTTGTGTGGTGACACTGCTCCGAAGAACATACATGAGCACAGTAATAACTACAGAAATGTTTTAAAATGTTTGTTGTTTTTTTTTGTTTTTTTTTTTTGTGTTTTTCCCCCCTCATTAAGAAACCCTTCAGATTAAAGGGTAGAAATGCAGACTGTCTCAATACTAAAGAGAGATATGATGTCTGGAAACAGACTCATGGCTGAGAGAGTTGCAAGAACTGAATGACCTGAAATATAAAAGGCAACGCCGAAAGGAGAATGTAGGACAACCTATATAAGTGAAAAGGGTAATTTGAACATGTAAGGATAGTATTGGAAAGGCCGAAGTGCAGAAAAGAACGTAACAGGGAAGAAAAAAATATTCCTTAAGAAGTCCATTAGTATGAAGCAGAATAAAGAGCTATGGTGTTAGGCAGCCATCAAAGAAAGCTATTGGGTCACAGATGCGGGGAAGGACAGTGCTTTAAACCTCTACTTGTTCCGGTCTTCACTTAAAATCATCGTTTCAATGAGCTGTGTTAAGAAATGTGTGAATACTTGGCTTAGGTAAATAGGTTAGGTAAGTATTTAGTTAAGTTAGATATTTTTGGATGCTCTAGACCTGATAAAGTCAAAATTAAATACCTGAAGAAATGTTTGAAGCAATGTGAGATGTTGACGGTTAGCTTTGGAAAATGAAGTGTCATTGAGATTTCCAATCACTATGAGAGACCAAATAGTTTTTTCACCAAAGTTCATGTTGCCACAATTTTCTTTTGCCTGGGCCTAAGTAAGTTTTCATTCAGTGCGTTGGTCAGACCCTCTGTACTGCGCTTTAAAATACTTAATTCTCTGTTGACTTGCCACACCTGCTTACTAGGTAATGTCTCAAGCATATCTTATTTAACACAACTTGTTATTTGAATAGCTGGTGTCTTCTGTTGGGACATCTACATTAGTAGGATGATGTAAGCAGATAATTGACGCAAGTTTGTAAGCACACAAGCACTTCCAGTTTTTCTCTGGCTACACCTATTATTATAATAAGACAACTGCTTTTGCATATGTTGTCTTGTTTAGGTATAGCAGGTATAAGAGTACAACAGGTACGGGCCTCCCTTTACATATTAGTAATTTGAATTGATTGAGGGATGAAGAATATCTAGTAATTTCTAATGCTTTTCATGACCTATTTTAGAATAGATGTCAATAGAGGAGGTATTTGGCAGACACTGATCCTCAAAGACTTACAGCTTGTCTACAGAAGGTATGCTTGGATAGGCGTAATTAACAGCACAAACACTATTGGGAAAAGACTGGCAAAAGGCAGCAGTTTGTATAAAGTGATTAAAGGCCATCACAAGCTGACAATGCTGTTGCTACGATGCAGAAATTCTGTTATAATATGTGAGCAAGAGTGGTGGGTACTGGTCAGATACCCATTGATGTAGTTTCAGTTTCTGATACCTATCTTTCATGTATCTTTTTGTCGTCTGCCTTCCCTACCTTCCCCTCCCTTCCACCCTTTTCTTATGTACAAGACAGCAGAGGTGTGATTTGATTAATACAGAGGTTAAATCTCCAGGATTTTTATGTGGATTAATTTTCTTTCTGCTCTTTAACTTCTGTTGACATCTGTAACAAAATTTTGGTTAGGCCTATGTGGTGATACGACAGTTTACTGAGTGTTACTTTATTTTCTAGATCTCTTTTTTGTGGGGTAAGTCTTTGGTAGTAGATGTTGGTTCATGCACTCAAATTCATGAAGTTGCTTTGTGTATCTAAAATTAAAACTATAAACCTACTAATTCCCGAATTTTGTGAAGCTAAGAATTTGATTTATATGTGAAGCTAAGAATTTGATTTATAACATAGCCTAAATAAATCATAGACCATGCTATAGGTATTTATAAATGTTCTGCCTTTTATTACTGTTTTGGCCGTAAGCCTACATGTTTAACCCTAGATATTTATGCAACTCCAACTGCTTGTCTATACAGTTTTCAAAAGTTGCTTAGTTGAGCAATTTTAAACCCATCAAATGGCGTTTTATCTGGATGGACTTCTGTCATCAAAACAAAGAAACATCCAGTTGCCCACAAAGGAGGAAAAAACCCCAAAACACGAAAACCCCAACTAAACCAAACAACCAGATCTTGATGTATTTTAAAATTCTTGCAATTAGAATCCATCGGCAGTGCTCCAAGACAGTACAATTCAGTAGGTGTGTTATGTCCTATAATAGGTCTTTGTTCCCTGATTTTCCTGCTTCTGTTTGTAAGTTCCCCTCCACACCCCCACCCCTGGAGAACAGTCAGGATTCAGTGTAGTTGCACTTAGATCTATCTTTCATTGCAAACGAAACAGCCAAGTGTGACAGAGACTGAATTTTGGCAATGAAAGAGAATACTGACATGGCCAATTACTGCATTTCAAATTGTGCGTGTTAGAATTGGTTGCCAGCTGAAGTGTGGTAACTTTGGAAATAGTTCATGTTTACTGGCAGGAATGTTTAGTCAATCTTTTTCTTGCACTCTCTCAAGTGTAGGAAAAAGAAAGGTTATGTAAATGCGTAAAACATAGTGCTTCAGTAGTAGCCTTTTGAATTCCTGGATAGTCCATTTGCTGTGGTCAGACTGTCAGTCAAGCTTTTTGTAAGTAAACTTTGATGTTTTAGTGAATATGTTTCAGTAATTTTATACTAAAATTAAAATGATTGAAGTCTTACTAATTTATATATATTCTAATTAATTTAACTAAAAACTTTAAACTTATTAATTGTGAGATTGTAAGTATAGGAAAAATGGTGAAGAATTATTTACCCCACTTCCCAATCCCAGCATTTCATGTAGAATTGTCAAAGCCTTCTTGTTTGAAACAGTGTTGATGCCATGTTTATTCTATGCCATGTTTATTCTCTGCCATTACAATGTGCTTGAGTAAAATGAGTTATAGTTCTCTGTCACAAGATATTGTTTGTAAGTGCTTAAGATAATAATCCTTGCACACTTTGCAGTACCTTGTTTTTTAGAAGCATTAGGGCTGCCAAATTATTGCAGCTTAAGTTACTGTGCCTCAGCTGAAAGGTGGAATGTGCCAAACCCTTGATAAATGAGAAATAATGTTTACTTAGCTGATGGTGAAAGTAAAGAAACTAAACCCAGTTAAAATGCTTTATATGTCATGTAGTCTTGGAGTTTGCCATTTTTACCATGACTCAACTGATGTGCAGAACTTGGATGTCATGCATGGTGACTTGGCTCTGGATACCTTTAGGACTACTTGCCGTGAATGCAGTTACAGTTAGAGATGTCTTCTTGGAGAAGCAAATGTAGTGGGGGTTTTTAAAATTATTTTTTTGGTATGTCTCTCATAAACTTTCTGTAATGAGTGTTAAAATGGTCAGTGCGGGGTCAGCTTTATCAGGGAATAAGTTTAGCATAGAATTGAACTGAATGCTTTAATAACCTGTCACCTTGTTATTACCTACAAAGACTATGTAGACTAGTTATAGAGTATTAAAGAGTATGCTTCCTTAGATTTTTGGGTTTTCCCCCTTTTCTGATATTCCTGTCACTATATGTGTATTGTACGGCTTGAAAGCAGAACCCCCAGCTCTCAAAAACATCCTTCTGCATGTAGTATTCTCTGGAGAAGCTGATGGCGGCACATGTTGGATATATACAATTCTACTGAAAAGTGATAATAGATTGTTGCAATTAATAAATTAAATCATTAAAAACTTCATAGTATTTTGTGAGCACTACAAGATGGACGGATTGGTTTACCCAATCAGCTCTGCCACAGCAGTTTAACATCTTGAGCCAACTGTTCTGATGAATGCATTTTTGAGATTAGGGTCCAGTTTCCCAAAATTAGTGGTACTTAGAACAGTAGTCTAATGCCAAATATGAAGAATATTTCTTGCAGCTGGAACTCCTGTCTCCCCGTATGTTTGGCCATTTCTAACTTGCATCCCCAAAAGGAAAGCATTATTGGGTCAATCAAATCTTCATTTACAATCTCAAGTTGTATTTCTTTCCAGGCCTGTAATCTGCTTCTGGTTTCCTGAATCTCATTTATGCTCCTGCTCAGCTGTATCAGGTGTCTGTTCCATGTGCATGTGTTACCTTTGAATTAGTTGTATAGTGTTAACCACTGCAGGTGTTCCATCTTTCTCGCAGAATTTGCAGAAGACTTTGCTTGGGACTATGTGCATGGTTTTAAGTTACAAGTTTCCTGGTCCCTTCCAATATTCCTTTGTTATGGCAAGTGCCTGATGTCAAGTATGTCAGAGAAACAGATCTTGCAATTCAAATTTTCTGTGTTTACAGGTACTGAATTTATTGTTGTCTTAAGACATTTAAAAATCACATTTACTGAAATGCTTCCTGTGAACTTTTATAAGCCTATAAATATAACTTGTGAATGTAAGATCTTTTGAGGGATAAAAACTCACTCTAAATTTAATACTGCTAGATTTCCACAAGCATAGGAAGCAGATGGTTGAGGAAAAAGCAGCAAACTTTTAATTTCAAAATGAGTTCTTATAAAATGTGACAGTAATTTCCAAAATTTTTAATTTGAGGAATCTTGGGTTCTTTTCCATGACATGCAAGCTCCGTAAGAAAATCTCAGATATCATTTTGTAGCATGAATGAACAATATGTTCTTAATCATCTTTCATGGATATTTGATGTGTAGGTTGTGGATATCTTGCACAGCAAAGAATTGAGGAACTACAGGCGAGGCACCACTGACTCGGACTTTAGGATGTTTAGCATGCATCACTACTAATTTGCTTATTACAGTTTTACATATTGACTTCTTTGCATTTAGGAGCTGTAGCACTGAAGAATCTTGAAATAAAAGAAAATGCACTGGTAAGTTAGTGAAAATAAAAATAAAACTATTATAAAAACGATTCTTGAACAACATTTTGGATTGTATGTGCTTCTTTCAGTTCTTATTTTAGGAATACACTATCTTTTAAGTGAAAACTTACTATTTTGTTTTCTCTGCACTTGTGTGGATTGTCTAATTAATATGAGATTAAAGGTGATGGTGTATACTGGCTTCATTTATCTTTTCAAAAACAAAACTCTCAACAGTTGCTAAAAGAATGTGTTTAGGTTTAAAACAATACTGAAAGACCATTTTCTATAGGTCATGAAGTTAGAAACTTGCTCTCGGCAATGTATTAAGCCTAGCATGGTTTAACAATCTAAATCAGTAACCAAACACTGGCTTGTTCCCTTATATTGAATGTTGGTTGGTTTTTTTTTTTTTTTTCCCATGGTTGAAAGGTAAATTTGTTGTTCAGGTTATTATCATCTGTTTTTCTTATATGGGAACATTTCACAAATGAGCTTAAATGTCCTAAAACTCTTTCAGAGTCAGCTGGATGTGCCATTTAAAGTTAAAGCAGGACATATTGGTAAGTTACATTTCATCATACACCCGTGCATGAGTTGCTGAACATACCACCTTTCCTTGAAAGTGGCTCTAGGCATCCTAAGCAATTAATTTTCCTAGTTACCTTGATTTTCATGCTTTGTATACTCTGAAGTTTGACTCTTCTGAAAAAAAATGTTTGAGGAAATTCCTTTTCTTGAGCTGAGATAGCAAAGTTAAAATATACTGAAGTCTTGTCTAATCACTTCACTGTTACTGAGAAAAGGACCCAACACAGCAAAGATGAACATCTGAGCAGGGCTGGGTCTTATTCTCAAGACTCCACAGTTGATTTTGCCTTCCACTTCCCTTTCTATCCTTCTCCTCTGTTTTTGCTAATATGAAAAGTGTTCTCATTGCAGGTTACTTGTCTTATAAAAGTTAGTGGTTTCCTAAAGCAAACTTAAGTCTAAAGCCATTATGTTTCCCTTAAATCTACCCTGGAAGTGTATATTTTCCTGTGACTGATTTAGTAATTATTAAAATTGGCACTTGTATGAAAAATGTGAGGTGCTGTAACCTCAGAGTCCCCATGTTCACAAAACATACACTCTACTTTCAGACTCACTTCCACAGAAAAAGAAGGAAAAATACGTGTTTTAAAAATTCTGGATTTGGGAGTATTTAGCTGTCTGGTCACATATGAGCTGCCCTTGCTTTTCTTGTTTATGAGGGTGCTGCTATGGATTTGCAAGGAGGGAGAGGTTGCTGTTAGGAAGAAAGAGTATAATTCAAGGGAGTAGGGAGAGGACCTGTAGACTTAATAGTTCTGCTAATACAGAAACATTTGTGTGCTATGTAAAACAACCAACCTGAAGGATATGTGCCTCGGATGCACTGCTTTTTCCGTCAATATAATAATTGCTCAGAGATGTTGTGGTTAATGTCGATCAGCTTTCTAATATTTTTTTTTTCCCCAGTCAACTATTTAACTGTATACCTCAACCTTTTTATTTTGTGTTTCTAGGTCAACTTAACCTACAGATTCCATGGCAAAACCTTTATACTCAACCTGTTGAGGCAGTTCTTGATGGAGTTTTTTTGCTTATTGTGCCCACAGCCAGTAAGTTAATGTAGAGAAAAAAGTGAATATAGATTGATGGGATTTCAGAAGTATCTGGAATGGGTTGATACTGTTTTCAGGAGCTTTATTCCTAGTAGATACTCCTATCAAATACAATTAGGTAATGGGGGTGGGGTGTCTTTCAGTAGCCTACATGTAGTTACCTACTTTTTTGCTGCTGTTGTATAACTATTAGCAAAATGTGAAAAATACTGCTTTTGAAACAGCATCTTCCAAAGTTCTGTAAGGTTTTTTGTATCAAACCTTTTTACATTGTGTATTTAGGTATAAAATATGATGCTGAAAAAGAAGCCAGACAGCTCTTGGAAGCAAGACAGAGGGAATTGCAAAGGATAGAGGAGGCAAAGCAGAAAATAGCTGACCAAGGTAAGAGTGGGAAAAACTAATGAAAGTGATGCTATTTCTTTCTTTCTTTTAATCCAGAAAGATACTGGATTTATCACTTAAAGTGTTTCAGATTTCTGTTTTCCTCGTGATACTAAAAATCCTATTAGTTACAGATTTTTAGGTGTGGCTGCCATCAATATTGCAGAACAGGCATCCTGAAAATTAAAAGATTCAAACATTGGTGCTATCTGATATAAATAAGGCTTTTGAAATATTGTTTGCTTGTGTCATATGTTGCTTGACATTTTCTTTCTTCATAAGAAACAGTTTGTGTCCAGTAGCAAAGAATTCTTATGATTATACCTTTTTAAAGATTCTGTTTAATTTGTTCTTTGATACATGTTAAGTCTTATAATCTCAAAATCAACTCCTGGTACTTTCAAGAAATATGTATTGGCCACCCTGAGTATGAGTGGGTACAAGTCACACTTCTGAACAACTTGATTCTTTATGGAGCAGGTAATAAAGCTGAAACTGTGTAGTCAGAAGGTATAAATGTTCTCGATTATACTTAAAGGACATGCTTTCATACAACTAGAGTACAATGTAATAGAAAATTTAAGTAAGTATCATGCAAACTTTATGATACTGTTTTCTCTAGTGTACTTCTAAAAATACTTTAATGCAAACAAAATATTATTTTCCTTTAACTTAGATAAAGAAAAAGAAGAGAAACAAGACACTTTTGTAGAAAAACTAGTCACTCAGGTCATCAAAAATCTTCAGGTGAAAATTTCCAACATCCATATTCGCTATGAAGATGATGTAAGTACTTTTGTACTTAACTCGGCATACATTTCTGTACTTATCTCAGCATAAGAGGTTGTGCACTGTAACATGAAATTAGGAACCTGTCTGATTTCTTCTAGTTGCTTTCCACGTTGTGAGAATCCTAGTAAAGTTTTGGAAATTTCATAGTCTTAAAAAAACAAACAAAAAAACAAAAAAGAAAACTGATAAAAAGCTTGTACTGAGACATGAATGTATTTATAAGCATATGGTTGGGTACAAAGAAGATATAGTTGTCAGATCTTTGCCATATATATTGCTTTTATTGTTGGCTATTTACTCCCAAAACTAAATTTAGAGCATAAGATAACCCTTTTTTGGTATTTTCTCCTTGCTCTATTAGATCACAAATCGAAATAACCCCTTGTCTTTTGGGATTTCACTTCAGAATCTAAGTTTGCAGGTAATTTTATTTTTCATCCAAAAAGCATGTTGTATACTGATAGGTTAAGTTACGTTTTTGTGTATTATTGTGCTGTCTGGTAGCATACTGTCTAATGAAACTATACCTATAGTCACAAGCCAACGACAATGATAACTACTTGGTTTATCAAATCCAGCATAAATATTGTGGCAATGGTGCAATTAAAGATAGAGTACTGGCATTAAAAAAAACCTTTTGGAGGAAATTCTTAATATTCTGCCTGCTGCACTTTGTGGTTGTCAAGTAGCAGATTTTTGCTGGATTTGGGCTATTCAGAATCTATGAATATTTTACGGGAAGTGCCATGAGGCCCAAGAAAGGAAGTTACTACCTGATACTGGGGAGAGAAAAAAAAAGAGGATGGCATCTTGTTTCAAGCTGGAGCGCAGTTCTTTGATCTTCAGGCTCCACTTCAAAGTGCAAATTGTAGTCATCATAGATTGTATATGTTTTTTTTTCCTTGAGGACTACCTAGCAGCAGCAATATGCTGATACTGATGAGTTGCTCTGATTCAGTAACTTCTGCTGTGTAACTGATTATCTTAAAGAAAATGTGTCTATGTTCCTTTCTTGGATAAAACAGTTGTCTTATGAATGCTTGTTCCTAGCACATTGAAAGGTTTTTGCCAACCCCCTTCCCTAAGCAGTTTTGCATAGTGAACCAAAGCTTTGGTATTCTTACTACTTCACTCTTGAATGGATATTATCCCTGAAAAAGTATAGTATGTGGTGTTTCTGTTGGGCTGAATCTAAAATGCTACTTCCAGAATTATAGAAGAATTCTAGTCTCTTGTTTATCTCTTTACAAAGAGCCTGCCTAAAAATAATATTGTCGTGAAGGAAAACTGTTTGCTGTACTGAAAACAGAATTTTAAAGCATCTTTTGACTCTTGTGCACAACCTGACAGTCACTGCATGTACATGAGTGTCTTTTGGGGAGAAGTAGCCTTGTCAAGTTACCACTTGAAGTTATGGCTTAGTCACCTTAAATCAGAAGATGGCATTCCATTATTTTCAGTTGGGGTTTAATTATGATGATGTTCTCCTCTTTTTTTCCTGGTTTGTTGATAAAATGTTGATGTATTATAGATGATGGAATAACTTTCTTTAATTCTTATTTCAGACCTCAGATAAGAATTGGAATCCATGTTTACATGATGAAACTGCCAAGTTGTTCTACAAGGTACAGTATAAACTCTATGCTAAAGAAAGAATTGTTAATAAAACAAGCTGAATTAGAGTTTCTTCCACAGAAACTGGGATCAAGAAAACATGTAACTGTATACGCTCTAAAATAAAAGGCTGCATAGCGTGCAAATTCTGAATTTTTTTATTCATCTTCCACTTTGTGAAATCCAAATTATTAAACTGAAACTTGTAGGTATTAATGCATATGTTTGGTTGTATTTTCAGCTTGTACGACTAGATAACCTTTTTGCTTACTGGAATGTGAAATCGGAGATGTTCTACCATGGTGGTTGTGATGAATCGTTGGTAAGTGAAACATGAGATAATGGATCTAGTCCTCTAGTTTATCCTGTGAAGCATCGAGCATGCTTCACATTCAGTTCTGCTTCCATTTATGTCAATGTCCTGAAGAACTGTCTTGTACTAATAACTTTGTTAGGAAATGCAGTAAATGCTTAGGTTTTTACCTGATAGAAGTACAATGCCTGTCTGAGGAATTTTTAAAAAAAAGTCCTTTGCCACTTAGGAAATGATACACAATATACGGTCATTTTACAATTCAGTGATTTTATTAGCTAAAAATAGAAATCTTAGTCTGTTTAAAACATAGATGAATATTTTTAATTGCACTGTATATCAGAGAGATTGTTTGAAACCTGTATTAAAATGCTAACATTTTGTATTTTAAAACTTTTTCATGAAATAAAAATGCAACTTATTTTTAACTCTGTTGTTTATGTAGGTTAATTTAAAACAGGGAGTTGCCAGCCACAATGTGATTCCGGAAGGTTATGATTTTGGTAAGTGCTATTTTATTTGTATTTGTAATATGTGTGTATACTTTACTTCTAATTTTTATTGCCTCTCAGAGGTTGCTACCTTGTCTGTTATTCAAAAATCTTAGCAAGGAGTGCAGTTTAATTCTTTTGTAGGGAAACTGCCTCTTTGACAGTGAATACCGTACCATATCTGTGGCCATAAAAAGATTTTGATTAAAATATGGGTCTTGAGTCATGTGTCATTCTAATGGAATGTCATAGATAAGTCTTCATTGTTCACACCCATTGATAATTCCTTATTTTAAGAAGTTTAGCAATAGTATGCACATCATGTAAGTTTTGTGAATGAGATTGGTTTGAGCAATAGATTAATGTTTTTGAGGTCACAAAGCTTACACAAAGTGTATCTTTTTTCATTAGAAGTGGAAACAGTAGTCACAGAAACATCAACTTTTTTTTTTTTTTTTGGTGTCGCTGTATTGCAATTTATGTTGCTTTGAGTGTTGCGTACTTCAGTCTCTGAAAGTCACATTGGCTCTACTCAAACATGAGGATTGTTTACTTTTCACTGTATGGAAGATACATGGGTTTTATTTCTCATGTGTGATTGTTTAGTAACTGTTTACAAGGCAGAATGGCCCTTGATGTGACTTGTTCTCTAGTAAGCAAGTCCTCAATTCAGCGTTATAACCAGGGTTAAAAATGTGGTTTTCTTTCTGTCTTTGCCTGAAAGGGGAAGCCTTTATTTGACTGACAGAGCACTATTTAATAATTTCTACTGATTTCTTATCTATCTTTTCAGTTGCTAGCTTTGACTCTTTTTACAAGAAAATAAGTTTAAGCATCATCAGTTGTCTAAGTCTACACAGAATTTCAAAATAGTTGTATGCAAAATTCAGGATTTATGCTCTTAAAATTTGGCAGTTCCATCAGGAGATGCAGATATTTAAAGAATTATGTCAAGCTGATATTCTGTGGTAAATGAAAATTCTGGCTCTTTCATAGTAACTCTTTAGATTAAGATGTCGATAGAAAGGCAGTAAGCACAAACTCTGCTTCTGTCACTTGATCTAAATGCAAACATAATACTTACACATAAGAAGAATGAAAAAGGAAATTTAGGAAGCTAACTACAGGGAGAAACTGAATGTAAATGCTACCACATAAGATATGTAGATAAAAGTAAAATAAGCTTCACAAGAAATACAGAGCTTAAAATCAAACAAAGGTAAATTGGTGTAAATATGGTTTCATCTTGAAAAATGTCTGTTTCTACTTATATGAATCTTGGTGAATTTTGAATATTAGGTATGTAGGTGGTCTATCAGTATTTCTACTGAAATCAAATTTTGTTTGGTAGAAATACAATTTACACACGTTCAAGTGATGTAGAAATTTTTGTTGTTGGATCAGTTGCTAAAATGGAAAAATTCAACTAAACATGGCTTCTGAAGGCTATATTGAATGTCTATATTGCTGAATTGTGAAACAGATAAAACACTTCTGCTCTGAATATTTTTCATGTGATGTTCTTTGCATTTCATGGGTTCCACACTGATTTTTTCTATGTTTACTTGGGCTTGGTTTTAGAAATCTGAAATGTTTGGCTTCATCCACTGTTGTGAGTTTAGTTTATTAAACAATGTAAAACATCAGTAACATTAAAAAAAAAAAATCCTCATGGAATTGGAGTTATTATAGTGAAATAAGTGTTATGTTTGAAACTACCTTGTACTATAAGTAGCTTGTGTCATAGCCAGAAAAAATAGATTTGTTGCAAATACAAACTATTAATTGGAACATCTGCCATGCAATAGTGCATACAGGAAATTTTTTGAAAATGTTCCACAAATATTTTTGAAATTTTTAATTCTGCAAATGTTGCCAGAATTAAACTGGAAATTGAGTATAGATTGTGTTACATTTTAAACTGTGTTGATGAAGTCTTCATGTTTTGAAGTCTAGCATTTGTAAATGAATAATCTGGCATATTTTGAGCTGATAAGACTGTCACAAATGATACATAATACTCTAAATAATTTAATTTCACTTTTTATGTCAACTTCTCTTTTTTAGTATTCCGCCCAATTTCAGCTAAAGCCAAACTCCTTATGAATCCTCGATCAGATGTTGACTTTTCATCACCAAAAATGGATTTAGATGTAAATTTACAGGATATAACTGTTGAATTCAATAAGCCGCAGGTATAAACTATTTTTCCAGAGTTATACGTATTGTGGTAAAAAAGTTAGCTTGCAAGAATAATAAGAAAAGCAGTCTGAAATTTTATAATAAACATACAGGATTGATTCACTTAGTCCTGTTTTTCTTTGTAAATTATTTTCTTTTTAAAGAGAAGTTTGAGTCACATTGTTCTCACAAAGACAATAACATGCAGTTTGAAATTTTTCTTGTTTTTTGTTTGTTTGTTTGTTTGGGGTTTTTTCAGTACTTCAGTGTTATGGAGCTTCTTGAGTCTATTGATATGATGACTCGAAATCTGCCATATAGGAAGTACAGACCTGATGTTCCATTGCACAACAATGCCAAGACATGGTAGGCCACCTCAGACTTTGAAAACAATTTGTTATTCATTTGAAATAATTACCCAGGGATTGTTTCTTACTTAAGGAGATTAGAACTCATTTCCTTCTGAAACACAGTCTCTTTTGTTTTTCTTTGTTTTTCTTAAGCTAGGAGTATTAAAAAAAAATGGTGAGGACTTCAAACCAAAGGTGAGAACACAATATTTGAAAGCCTGCATTTGCTGTCTTATAGACCATTATCAGAAACTTAAGTCTGATAGTATTTTAATATCCTAACTCTGTTTTGATGAAGGAGACCCCATTATATGCTAGGTACTATTACAAGAATGTAGCTGTTGCTTGAATATAGGCAAACCTTTTCAACACAGATGGCAGAGATTTGATTTCTTTTCAGAAGATTACTTACAAATATGTTTTGATTATTCACACACACACACACGCAGTAAAATCCTTCGGATCCTCTACTGATCAAAAGTTTGATGTGAGACAAGGGATTTCACTCTTTCACAACTTGAAGTTGTATTTAGTGGGAGTCTGCATAGTTCTAGCCGTCTTTACAGTATACCAAAAGAAATGTAAACTGAACTTCATTTGTCTATACTTTTAGGTGGAAATATGTTATTTATGGCATCCTTGAAGTAAATATTCAACCTAAGCTCCAAATGTGGTCATGGGAACATATTCGGCACCATAGGAAACAAGTGAAGAACTATAAAGAGATGTATAAAATGAAGATAACATCAAAAAAACCTAATGAAGAAATCTTAAAATTGTTGGAGGTCAGCCATTTCTCATTAAAGGCTTAAGTATTGTTCATCTTGCTGTTTTCTTAAACTTAACTGTTTACATGTTCCTAAGTCAGTACTAACTTAAAATTTTCAGTGGCCAGGCTTGAAACTTCATCAGTACATTTCTCTATGAGCAGTATTAATAACCATATTAGATAATCTTCTAAATTAATAACTGCAGTGAAGAAAAAACTTAAACTGGTTCACTTTCTTCTCCAGGTTTATTTAAAGTTTTCAGCTTGAGCAAATTAACTTGGGTTGCACTGACACGGTTGTTTACTGTAATTTCCTGTGAAACTGAGCCATGAAATATAACCATATGAAATTGTCAAAATATAATTTTTCATCTCCTTTCTAGGAATTCGAAAAGGCCTTGGATATTTTTAACATCACTTTAGCAAGGCAACAAGCAGAAGTTGAGGTAAAATTTCATAATTTAAGTGAGTCTAAGAATAACTGCAACATGAGGTTGGGTTGTGGAGATTTTAGGCAGATGGATTTTAGTTCTAGTGATTGAATCGTGCATTATACAGTCTTCCTACTTTCCTTGTTTCATGTTTGTTGTTATAAGGCATAGTTAGTTTCAGCTTGTAATTAAGCAAAAATTAAGTAGCTCTGGGTGCTGCTTCTTCAGAATAACTGATCTGGGATAAATTTCTTTCCACTTTTGGTGAGGAAAATGCTGTGGAAAATATGTTCAAAGGATGATAGGGTAAGTCATGTTGGAAGTGATTATACCCAAAACTTCAGGCTACCCTGCCACACTCTGCAACAACCTAGACTATTTGTTTATTCCTTTCCTTCCTGATACCTTATTTGTAGGTTGAGCACCTGCATATGTAGTATGTTGACCTTTTGTTACTATTCACAAACATTATTCGGAATACAGGAAATGCAGAATACATTTAAGTAGATAATCACAATTGGGCAAGATAATGTGACTTGAGTAGTTACAGTTAAATTGTTAGCCTTTTTTTTCCTAGGTTAGTGTACTGGTTAGTTTTCAATATAGTGTCTGAGTATCATTCTAGGAGACTGAGGTGAAATCTGCATAGGTTTTCTGAAATCTGTGAAGTGGTCTTACTTTTAGTCATATTAATTATTAACAGAGAAAGCAGAATATGAAGTTTAGAATCTGAAGTAACTTACTGATAATTAATTAATTTCAATAATTTCTTCTGTAAGTGCTTGAAAGAAATTTGATTTTTTTTTTTTTTTTTCTGGTGGAGTATATTAAGTATAGTATAAACTCATTTGTTGCAGTGATAGATACGGCACTTCCAAACCAAAACTCTAAACAGGAATCCATAAATGTGATTTTTTTTTTTCCTTCTGGTTGTCTGTCTGTACACCCACATTTGGATCCTTGTACGATCATTATTGATCATTCTGCCGAACCAGAAGACACATCCATATTCCTCATCTTCAGCTGTTTGGATGGAGTGCTTTTCATGTGAAGGGTTTTTGTTTAGTTTTAGTTCTCATTTAATTTTGACAGGTTTTTATCTTGTACTGTGTAGTTTTATATGGTTTTATGTTTTTCCTCTTACTTTTTGCAAAGTGAGGGAGATCCCAAAGAGTGTCTTGTTTATGCTTATTTTCTCCAGTGTGAATGTGCTGCTTAGGAAAGGTTATGTCATACTGCATTCCTGACTAGTTTCCAGTCCTGACTTTCGAGATAGGTTTCTGTAGTGCTTTGGGTAGCTTGCAAGCACATGAATTTTCATTTGTTTGGTCTTTAAGCCTTGCATTTGAAAAGTGATAGAAAAGCATCTTGAAAGATCTGCTAGCTAACTCTCTAAATTTATTTCCAAGTATTGAAAATCAGGTCACAGTGATTCTAAACTGTGTTCTACCTCCATCTATTTGTCAGAACCCACCTGTCTTACTGTTATCGGCTCATACCTCAGAAAAAGATCTCAAAGGACTTGTAAGAGGCAAATCTACTACTAGCTTGGTATCCTGATAGCCTTACGCTGACTAGGAATTTAAAGGATCACCCTTTAAATGTGGGCTGAGTAAAGCCAGATAAAGGACCCTACTGTTAAGCTTTTTGTTTTTTAAAAACATACCCTGTAGTTGAATTTCAAGGGCCTATTTTTCTCTAGACCTTGAAATCAAGTTCCCCAGAACTCAGGTATGTGAACACAGTACCACCTGATTTTCTGGAAACTTTGTAGCAAGAACTTTATGTTCCAAATGTTAGGCCACTTTTTAATCTTTATCACTAGTGCCCTAAGTACCAAACACCAGGTTCAGTGAGCAAAGCGTCAAGTCTCTGTATGAGAGAGCTTGAGAAATTTTGTGGTTTCAATCAAGAGAAGACTTTATAGATGATTCACCTAAATCAGAATACAGGATGGTGCTCTTGGTTCTTTCTTTCTTTTATTTACTTTGTTGAGTAATCTTTCCACAGACTATGACTGTATTCATTACTAAATCAATGTAAATGGTGGACAGGGGAAAGCTCAACAGCATTTCTTTAGGAAATTTCTTTAGGAAATTTAGGAAATTTCTTTAGTTCCCATACTGCACAAATGTTTTCTTTATCCTTGAAGAAGCACAGTTCCCCTCCCTCCTGTCTGTAGCCTTTCTTACCTTGGACTCTGATGCCAACTGCTGCCTTGGACATGTTGGGAATCATAGCTTTAAGCATCACTTCTTTTTCTCCATGGCAGTTGTCCTTCAACACCAACTCCTTAGTGTCCTAGAAACCTCTAATTTCAGAGATTTAACAGCCCTTTTTTTCTAAGGTGCTGTCCATTCTTTTCTTGAGCTGTTTGCTCAGTAACATGTGCTTGATGACTTGGTATCCTTTGTGAAGAGAACTTTGGAGGATTTTATTCAAATTTCTGAGGGCTTGTGTTGTTTAGCTGACATTCTGCATCATCTCCCTAAGATGAATCAATAGTATCAATTCAGAAGCCTTTGTTTTTATGGTGAGTCATGCCTTGTATTGGCCTCTGGGTGGATAGGTGTGACAAGTCCTTAAGAAGTTCTGATTTTTAGCCAGCTGTTTTCCCTAATTGTACTGCAGAGACATCTGGGATTTTCTGAATGCTGAGAAGGGATCATTGTCTCACTTTGTGTATCACATTCACTAGAGCACTTCTAAATTCAGGGATTATCTGCAAGTGCTTATATCTTTTTGGATCATATTGGTCAGAAAGAAAAATAAGTTGTGCAGTCCACTACAGTTTTGAGAACTAACCTGCCTCTTAAATCACTTGATGGTTGCTTGCTGTTCCTTATGCCAAATTTTCAGTGGTCAAGTCTGGATGTGGTTTGCACTTTCTGTGGGGACCCGGTATTGGGATAATCATTGACATCAAACAAGACATCCCCTAGTTGTTGAAATAATGAATGTGGAACAAGGGAGGGCTTCCTTACTGTTATAGCTATGTGTATCAGATCCAGGAATAGTCTTCTATGTTCCTTAGAGTAAATATTCTATTACAGGAATAATGACTTTTTTTTTGGTAATTATTATTACTTTGGGCATCTGTCTTGAACTAAAAAGTACAGGGACCATTTAAAATTTAGCCTGTGCTATTTAATTGCTTAGTGTATTTTTAATGATTCTTTCTAAGTGCATTGTTGTAATGTAGTGCGCTATATTGTGTTGCAGATTTTTTTTTTTGGTGGTGAAATCTAGAGAAAAAATCTGCTATGTAAGAAACATTTATTGACTTAAAATCAGCTACCTTTTGCTTGCTCTTTTTGTTCATAAAGATGGTTGATTTTATGTAGGTGAGAATTGGTCCGATGATGCACTATGTACTTGAAAAAATTAGAAGAAAAGCTAACAACGTTGCCTTTTCAATGGCTGTCTGATGATATTTTGGTGTGTCAGAGCATGTATTGAGTCTACATTTTCATTAGGAAAATGAAGAAAGAATCATGAAGAAAATGACTTGTTTGAATATTTTTAAAATTTCAGGCAACTAAGGCTGGATTAAAAATCTACAGACCAGGAGTAAAACAAGATGATGAAAATTCTGGTGGCTGGTTTAGTTGGATATGGAGCTGGTCAGGTGAAAGAAAGGATGAACAAAAACAAGAAGTAAAGGGTTCAAGTATGTTAATTTCTTGTTTGTTTGTTGTGGTTTTTTTTTTATTTATTATTATTAAAAATGACTTATTAGAATAATAGCTCCCTAGCAGTGGAAGTTTGGATTTAATAATTGGGCTATCAAATTATTGACCTTTACATTTTCTCTTAGTTTTTTTTTTTGCTGATGAAGTTGTTAATTGCATGTTACGGAGGTACCTTATAATTCCTTCCATAGGTCTTTTTGAACTGTCTTCAATTTGTGCTTTTTTCTGCCCCAGTTTTTACATTTGTCTGCATGGTGTACTGTGTATGGGGGTTTGAAGAAAGTGCTAGAAAACAGTAGCAGTTAATGAAATGTAAACAATTTAACTTACATTAATTTTATACTTTGGCTATTTCATCCAGTGTATTAGAGTGGATTCATTTAAGTACAGGGCACATAGTAAAGGTTGTGAAACACAGAAAGTAAATAAAAAATGTTGCTGCTGTTGTTAGCAAGCTAGGAAATAGAGTAGGTCAGGGTAAAAGTATAACTGCATTTTAAAGCATGCTTTAGGAGGCTCAAGACTTGGATTTAAACCTCAGGGGTTTTGCTTTGTTGCTAATTCAGGACAATGTTGATAGTATCAATGGTATATCAACAGAGCTTCCAAGTACTGGAAAGTATATAACAGTATTTGGATTTTTCAGATACCTATATTGAGTTTATCTAACCCCTTGCAATGTGACAGGTCTTGAAGAGCTGATGACACGTGAAGAGAAGGCTAAACTTTATGCAGCAATTGGATATAGTGAAACAGCTGTGGATCCAACCCTTCCAAAATCAGTAAGTCATAACCAACTATGGTTCCAAACAGTTGGTAGGTTTATCTACTAGTAAAAATCTAAAGATTATAGGAAATCACTTCTAAAATTACTTGAAGCTGTCTCTATATTTGAATACTGTTCTGACACCTTTTAGGTTGCTGCATTCTGCCTTTGTGCAGAACAGAGCATCCTTAGATGTAGTTTCAGGAGAGTGGTGTTAGAGCTTACTTTGGATATTCTGAAAGAGTTCAGAAAGAAATTTGCTTGCTCAAGCTAGAATAAAATCATATAAGTAGCGTGTTGTTGTTTAAGTTATGAAATGCTTCATATATCCACTTAAAATGTTCAGAAACCTTTTAAGAAAGTACACTTAAGTGATTTGCTGGAATCTTAAATATGAGTGATAGCAGGTGAGGTAGAGTAGGTGAGTATATGAGGAAAGAGGTGATTGAAGGACTGTAGTGGGGAAGAGCAACATTTTTGAACCATTCAGAAATAGTCTGAGAAGTCATCTTTATGTGCTATACTGTGCATGGTACAATGGACTGCCTTCCAGCTCTGTGTGAGAGGCCCTTTATCTCAAAATGCGATGTAAAGACATCAAAGATATGTTTTGTAATCACAGTCTACTCTTACTCTAACCTTGCCTCTTCGTAGTAACTCTTTGGGAATGACTTTTATACCAACTATGATAGAAGCTATTTATAGCACTAGAAAAGTAGTATGAAACTGGTATTTGTGACTTTCATCTCTTCATAAACTGTATTGAATTGTATGTTGAAATATATTATAATCCACTCTTGTTGTTTTTCTGCATATCTAGTATGAAGCCATGAAGTTCTCTGTGAATTTATTAAGCATGTCTATATCTATAAGAGAAAACAAGCAGACTCCTGAGCTGGTAGTGTTTGCATTAACCGGCTTGAGTACAGTATTTACGCAACGACCAGGTGCACAAGCAATAAGGTGAAATTTCCCTGTCAAACTGGTTTTGCTCCTCATGAAACATTGATGACAACTAATAGACATTTTAATGTTCTGTTATGATGTTTAACTTCCATTTTTCACTATCATTTACTGTGCAGTTTTAGAGCAGAGTCATCCCACGACTGATGGGCAAAGTGAATGGATACTGTTTCTATGATTGTTTTCTCCGTCTTCAGAACTTTTTGTGCCGATACAGTTTTGCTCCCATTTTTTCAGTCTATTATTGTTATGTACAAGCAATCCAGTTACTAATTTGTTTCTTGTTTTGAAAAGTGACTGTCACTGCTTTTGAAACTTAATCTGGACAAAGGATCTCATAACTGCTTGTGTGTAGGCATTTAACATGACCGAAAAGTTCCTGAGTTTTCAGTTAGTCTTTTAGATTTGCAGAAGAAAGATGTAACTGATGATTTTTACTTGATTTTATGCTCTCACAGAAGATGATGGAAAGCAGCGATGTGAAATACTTTATTTTCATTTCAAATGTAATGACTTAAAATTCGGGGGGAGGGTAGCTTTCCTGTTTTAAACCTTGTTCCCTCTACTTTGGGGCGTAGAAGTATAATCTATGTATGATATTAAGATGCTATTGCTCTTGCTGAATTTTATGCACATTTTTTTTTCTAAAGCTTTGCTTGCAGCTTTTCTGTTCCGCTGTGCGTGTAAATGGCCCTAATAATGCTATCTTACTGAGAAAAAGGGAAGACAGTGTTATATTTTTACAGTGAAACACTTTGAGTATTGGGAGATAAAGATCTTCAACTGAGAGCTGTTAAAGAGGTAGACAGGGTGTTGAAAAAAAAAAAAAATCCAATGCCTAAAAAATACTTTCTCAGAGTAATGAGGCTATTAATCTTATGCTTCTCTTGTGGTGTTTCTTTTATTTCTCTGCACTGGAACCCTTCCCTCTCTGCTGTATCCCAGTTCCCCGGTATAAACTGTGCCATTTAGTTCCTGAGCTCATACTACAGAATTGCCATTCACATGTCTCTTCACTACTCTGACACCTGTCCTCATGGAAAGTGTAAGAAGTTAATAACTTGGACCTCCTTTCTTGTTTACTCAGGGGTGGCTAATAGACACAAAAAAATAATGAAATGCAAAACAGTTAACACATGGATATATGTATTAGATTCTTAGACTAAGCTATTTATATATGAGCCAGAGTAGAGGTATGTTGGGTTTTTTTGTCTGTTTTTTTTTTTTGTTTGTTTGTTTTGTTTGTTTTGTTTTTTGCTTTTTTTTAAGCCCATTTCTTATGCTTTTACATCTAATTGTACCTAGCCACATGGGTATTACATCTGAACATGCTGTTTACCTTTCTTTACAGATTTGAAACAAAAATTACCTCACTTGAAGTTACAGGCATGTCTCGGGAAAAGTGTACACCCTGTCTCCTATCTTCTCGAACGGTCTATTCGGACAAGAGTACCTCGCTTTTAAGCATAATGTTTGAGACTAATCCTTTGGATGAGAAAGCAGATCAGAGGCTTAGGATAGAATCACAGCCATTGGAAATAGTATATGACGCGGTAAGTAAATATTTCAATAAGTTACAAATCTTGAAAAATCTTACTTAAAAGTAAATCTGCCACATACTATTTTTGCTTTATTTTAACAGATGACAATAAATAGCTTAGTGGATTTCTTCAGACCTCCAAAGGATGTACATTTAGAGCAGTTGACATCAGCAACTCTTATGAAGCTTGAAGAGTTCCGTGAAAAAACATCAACAGGCAAGTACTGTATGCACTTCTGATTGCACACTCAGACACATTTTAGATTCTAGGAGTATGAAAATATTCTCTATCCGTATGGAGATGCATGGATCCAAGTCATAGATTTCTAACACAACACCTAAATAGGTTGAGTTCTTCAATCTCATTACAAAGCACTTGTTCTAGGGTGTTGTGGTTTAACCCCAGCCAGCAGCTAACCACCATGCAACTGCTCGCTCACTCCTCCCAAATCCCAGTGGGATGGGGAGGAGCATCAGAAAAAAAAAAAAACCTCGTGGGTTGAGATAAGAAAAGTTTAATAACTAACGTAAAATAAAATTGTAGCAATAATAACAACAAAACAGAATAATAATAATAGTAATGAAAAAGAATCTAACAAAAAGAGAGAGAAATAAAGCCCAAGAAAAGACAAGTGATGCACAATGCAGTTGCTCACCACCTGCTGATCAAGGCCTGAGCAGTGGTTGGCCTCTTCTAGCCAACTCCCCCCAGTTTATATACTGAGCATGGCTTTCTGTAGTATGGAATATCTGTAGATCCTTAGATATTCCACAGAACAAGAATTAATTTGTTCCTGTAAGGATGTCTGAGGCTTTCTAGATCAGGGGTGTCTCTAGTGCAGTGTCCTGTCTCTGACTGTGGATAGGAGAGGATGCCAATGGGAAATTTCATACATAAATCCTTTTTAAAAGAAAAAAAAAAAAAGAGTTTCTTTTAAACCTTATTTACCATTGTAACCTATTAATATTTAAATTGTACATTTAAAAAATCTGAATATTCAGTGATAATAAGTGAAAGAAGCTACAGAAAACTCAAGTATAATGTATATTTAGTCAATTGCTTTTTTCCAGCTAGTATCAGGAATAAAATCAGGCATCAGTTGTATTTCTGTTCATTAGTTCTTCTTTGACTGAACTGTTTAATCAAGAACTAATGTCAGATTAACCAGAGTTAGGTGAACCAACATGCTTGTCTTTTCTATCAGAAAATTCTTCAGCAATACTGAATATATTGATACCACAGTTCATTCCTGAGATTAATTTGATAAAAATTTGCTTAGATTCAATATGCTTGGTTCTTTGCTCATTATTGCTGAATGTTTTGGTTCTGATCATGTTTCTTTTATTTTTGTGGAAATACGAAATCATGCTATGTATCTATTATAATTTAAGCATAGCATTACTTTAGAGGTATATCCAGTGACTCACCTTCACAAGAGTGCTAAATTGCCCTTAGTAATCTAAAAGCTTGTTCCACTTGCAAATGAGAAGCCTGATCGAAATTTCTAAGGATATGATGTACATTGCTTGTAAAATCTCAGCCAAGACTTACAGAAGTGCCAAGAGAAGAAGGTCTGTTCTGCAGAATATTCTTTTGCAGAGGACTATGCTAATCTCAGAGGTAGAATTAAAAAAAATGGAATCATATCAATATAATTAATATGTTCAGACTTTCAATACTTCTCAGGAAAGAGTTCTTAACACTTTCCTTTCAAGCAGTAGAAGATAGCTGGCAAATATTGGGGAACTGTGAACTGCAGAAGTGAAGGACTTTTTGTTACACCAAAATAATTATGATTTTCAGCACCAGTAAAAGACATCGCAAAAACTTAGTTTCCCAGAGTTCAGTTTATGGACTCAACCATGTTCTCTTCCCAAGTGAATGAAAAAAGAAGGTATTTTGTTGAACTTTCTACATCACTCAAATACTGTTAGGCATTGAAAACTGAAAAAAATCTTAATATTTTTATTAATCCAAATTATTTTATCTTGCAAATCCTGAAATATTCTATGGAGATCTTCATTGATTTATCTAGCTCTCCTGTGGCAGAAGAACCTTTGATAATGTTGGAACAGTTCTAATTGCTTTCTTACCAGTGTGGGTGTGCTGCAGTGTCATGTTGTCATCTTCATAATTTATTATCTCTACTTCTGTGTTCATCAGCTTGTTGCACCTGGTAAATATTTAATGGGTTGCGGCTGCATCCTAAGGCAGTTTTCAGTGCTAATTTGAAGCAAGACTATTCATTCCTCTTCAGACGAGTAAAAAAAGTAGAATTTGATCTCAAATGTTCTGACAGTCTGTATTTCCCAACCAATTGCACGTTTTTTTAACCAGAATTTTTGTAAGAACTTGTATTTGCTGGTCTTCAGCATCTCAAGATGGAGATTCTTGTCAGCAGAATCAGTGAAAACTTTAGTATTTCAGTAGTAACAATGCTAGAAGTTTGGCTAGTGCAGTTGGATACTCCCAATAAGAACTTCTAGAGCAATTAAATTTCTCAATCTACAGAGCACAATGGGTTAACTTGACAATTGCCAAGTTGCAGTACACATTCCAGTTCTTCTCATTTCATCTCTGCTCAGTATGAAACTTGGATTTGCCTGTGTCGTGTTGCTGTCTCTACTTGTCCATTAGCATTGTTTGATATCATAGTTTCATCTACTTGGTGCTTCTTCAAAAACTGCCTGTAATTATTAGTTCAGAAGAAATCTGAAGAACATCTGTACCTGCAATTAAACTTGGTTACCTAACATTCACAGCTTAAAGTTAGACTTGAATTTCTTTTAATTCTATAGGTTCTGTATGGATTACTTTGTTTATGGTTACCAATTATATTATTTTTCAGGACTGTTGTATGTTATTGAAACCCAGAAAGTTCTTGACCTCAAAATTAACCTCATGGCTTCATACATCATTGTTCCACAAAAGGGATTCTATGACCGTACATCAAATTTACTACTTCTGGATCTTGGTAGTCTTAAGGTATGTATTTACCTAATGAAGTAACTTACTGAAAATGATAGTTTGGATTTGATTTGATTTCCAGTTTCTTAATTTTTATTTTGTGGTACTGATAAAGTAGAAGTTCCTTTTGAAATTTTTAAGTATTAGGTGTTTATTTTAAACTGCTTTCCAGTCAAGGCAGAAATTATTGAACTCTTCTCAGTAAATTCTTTCAATCCCCAAAAACTGTTAGAAAATAATTGTCCTCTGGAATGAAACCACTGTTGATGCTTTGAACTGATATGTGGAAAATGTCTAACAATTTTTTTTACCTTAGAATATAAAATGGTAAACTCTTCACTTACATGATTAAATAGTCTTTTTAATATTACTACTATTCTTGTCAATTACATTTTGGTCATTCAGTTTACTTTAAAATGAGAAAAGTAAACATATTGGCAATTTATAAAATAAAATCGATTAAATTTTGAGATATGTTTGGGATACTTCATGCAAGGGAAAAGTCAAAAAGGTAGTTTAATGATGTATTTAAAATTATAATTTATCATTATAAAGAAGAGACTGTTTCTACCTATTATTAGGAATCTTTTTACTCATTGGTGAACTTGTGTTCTTTCAGGGGAAATGATCTTATATGTATACAGGCAATTTAATTTTTTTTTTTGTTATATTCTGGCTGAGAATGATTCTGCTACTTCCTACCTGTTCTGTTTGCCTTTTCTGCTTTTTTTTAATAAGAATTTGTTTCAAAGCTTAAAATTTTGCTAAAGTGAGGTAAGTTTTCTGTGTCTCTGCCACAGACTGACTTTCTGAGCATGTGGGTGTCAGTTAGAATCATAGAATAGTTTGAGCTGGAAGGGACCTTTAAAGGTCACCTAGTCCAATCCCTCTGTAATGAGCAGGGACATCTTCAACTAGATCAGGTTACTCCGAGCCCTGTCCAACCTGACCTGGAACACTTCCTGGGATGGGACATCTATCACCTTGCTGGGCAAGGTGTTCCACTGTTTCACCACCCTTATTGTAAAAAATTTCTTCCTTATATCTAGTCTTAAGTTCAAAACCATTATCCCTTGTCCTATTGCTACAGGCCCTGCTAAAAAGTCTCTCTTCATCTTTCTTAGAAGCCCCTTTTATATATTGAAAGGTAGCAGGAAGGTCTCCTCAGAGCCTTCTCTTCTCCAGGCTGAACAACCTCAACTCTTTCAGCTTGTCTTCATAGGAGAGTTGTTACCTCCCTCTGATCATTTTTGTGGCCCTCCTCTGGACCTGCTGCAGCAGGTCCATGTTTGACTCCAGAGCTGGACGCAGTACTCAGGTGGGGTCTCACCAGATCTGAGAAGGGGAGAATCACCTCCCTTGGCCTGCTGGCCACGCTTCTTTTGATGCAGTCCAGGATATGGTTGACCTTCTGAGCTGCGAACGCACATTGTCAGCTCATGTCCAGCTGACAATGTGAAATAATGTGAAATAATCCAACTGACAATGTGAAACAATGTGAAATAATCGACCAATGTGAAACACCCCCAAGCCATTCTCTGCAGGGCTGCTGTCAATCAACTCATCCCTCAGCCTGTATGTGTGTTTGGGATTGCCCCGGTCCATGTGCAGGACCTTGTGCTTCGCCTTGTTGAAAGAACACGTCAGGTGCTTTAGAAAGTAGAATTAGTGAAAAACATTGCTATGTAGATACTAAAAATAATTTGGATTCACAACCAGATCGCTTAGTTCAGTAACTAATAATTTTACCAGTTCTTCTGAATGCTGGTCATTTGTAAGCACTTTGCAGAGTTCAGTAATCAACCTGTATATTGGTTGGGTGTTTGAAACAGCCTCCTTGGTCTAATGGAGAGAGGGAATAGAACAGCCCATGTCATTGACTCCACCCATAAGAAATTACTCTCAGAGTAATACATAGCAGAATACATTTCAAGTTCAGACTCCAGTAAATGTGTCTGTGAGAATTTTTTTTCTGAAATGGATGAGTCATTTTCATAGTGAATGTGGCTCTTGCACTGGTTCCTGTCCTTTAATAGAAAGCAGGGTGAAGGAATTGGGCAATATCAAAAGAGAAAAGTTAGAGGCCTCTTAGGATATGACTAATAATTTTATACTAATTTGGAGTGACATATGCTTAAATGAAATGTGGGTCATTCACTGAATGAGTATGTTTAATACAAAACAAATAGTTTAATTCCCTCAGTTATGTGATGGATAAGGTCAAGCACCAAGGAGGAAAATGGCATATAAAATTAAAACTATCTCAGTGCAGATATGTAAGTGGACTTAATTAAGCTTGCACAGACAATATTAATTTGGTAATTCTGAATTTTCAATCTGCAAGTTAGTTTTAATGTAAAAGCAATCATAGTTCTGTGGCACTGGAAGAAGAAATTCTGTGTCTTAGACACTAGTATTTAAAGCCGTTTCATGGTTATGAACCTTACCTTGAATATTACCTGAGTCTGACAAAACCAGAGAGGGATCCAAAATTGTTAGCCATTTAAGGACGAGGACAGTCACGTTTCACCAGAGATGAATAGCAGAGAACGCACATACAAATGTGAAATACCAAAGAAGTCTGGGCATCTCAAAGCTGAGTCAAAGGGATATTGACTGATATTAAAGAAAAGACACTGAATACTGACGATGAACAATCCAAAATCCCTTTTCTCTCTTACTCTGTTTGCCTAACGTATAACACGGTAATGCCACAACTAAATTCAACAGGATTCAAAAATAGATTTAATGTTTCTGAGGTGATAAATGCAGTAATATTTTTATTTATTGAACAGTTATTCTACCGATTACAAAGGGTTTGAGATTTTATGCATTGGGGTATGAAACACTTACTGAAGGAAGTTATTCTATTTAACATGTTGTATAAAACTTCATAGATTTTAATAAATTTTTTATTTTGCATGTTTCCTTGAAGAAGAAATAGAGTTTAATACTCTCCATTTTTTGTTTTGATAAAGGCTTCTAATTTTAGATATCTCCTCTGCTGTGATATTTGTAACACTGTGCCCTTATAATGAGGCTGCTAAATTTAATATTTTGCTGTGGTAGGATCAGGTATTTGTAGAATTAGTGCTTTGAATATTTTTGAAATTGATTTATGTTTTTTTGTGATTGTTTTTAAGATGAAAAGCAAAAGTCGTTCAGATTTGTCAGAACTCAAAGTAGGACAAAGCACTATTGAAGATATAATGTCAAGAGCTTATGACAGTTTTGATATCCAGCTCAGCAGTATACAGTTACTGTACAGCAAACATGGTAAGTATTCATGAAAGAAATCTTTCTCTATATGGGTAAAAAGATGTTGGTGGTTGATGTACATTTTATATTTTTAACTGATGCAGGAGAGAATGTTTGGAACACAATTCTTTGAACTCATGTTCTAAACTTAGTCCTATGAACATGTTATGAATTTCCAAGACATACCTTTAGGCCTTAGATTCCAACCTTACCTTTTGCTAAATGAATAAACTTAAAATAAATCCCTTATTTTTGAAGATGCTTAATTTGATTTGTTGTGTAATAAATATGAGTGTAGTTAATTTATTTATGGTATTTTCCTTCAGTGTCTTTCCCTTGCTTCTCTCCAAATTTAAAGCAGAATCCACAAGTAGTTGTAGGTTTGATCATTTTGTGAGGGGAAAGAAAGGATCAGATCACTTATTTAAGCAAATTTTTACTAGTAGTTCAGGAACTAACAGTATAGGAGTCAGAACCAAAGAAGTCTTGGGCATTTAATTGTTAACTGTCTGATTCCAGAGGGGAATCCAGAGCCTAAACTCCCAGTACCAAGTATGTTAAGAATTGGGCCATTAGAAGTCTGCAGCATGGATGGGATAGCTATTTAGATGTAAACAGCAGAAATTATTAAGTAGTCTTGCATGTCTGAAGTTCAGATCTTGTGTAATATACATGTATTGATAGAGCTGTGAAAGAGATAATGTCACCTGAATTTTTAGCAATATATGCTAAATAAGATGCTTGTGATATGTATCATGAGAAGAAATCTCTTTCAGTTTTTGAAGTGTAGATTTTCTTTGCTCTTCTAGATGAGAACTGGCAAGAGGCTCGGAAGCTGAAATATTCATCTCAACATATCTTGCAGCCCTTAGATGTAAAAGTGGAATTTAGCAGAGCTATGGTTGTTACAGATGCAAGAATGCCCAAGTATGTGGTTTCTTTCCTGTTTTGAAATTTTATGGTAAATGACTTTCTTTGGGGGGAAAGGTGGGGGAGGGGAAGAAGAAAAAATTGAGGATCTAATTATACAATTTTAAATCTGCCACATACGAATCTTGGAAGTAAAATACCTTGATTGAGAAAAACGGAGCATAAACCCAAGAACTTGCTAGATATGGAAGAGGTGATAGATTGTTACATTGTTATAAAGAATGCATGTATAGTATATTTAAAGATCTTTATTAATGGTATTAATACCTGTTCTAATTAGGTCTTTCTAATAACTACATTTCAGTTCTTATTGGAAATACTGAGGAGCAAAATACATGAACTTACAACGTCTCTTTTGTAAGCATCACAAAAATATTCTGAAAAATAATGTGCTGTCATACTCTCATGTTACTCATCTTATTTGTTTACCTACAAGAGATGACTTCTCAGGGAAACAGTTCTTAATGCATTGAGGTTGCACTTAGGCTTATTTAGCATAAAACCTATTGGTTATGGAAATTGTACTCAGTCAGAAGAAAATGTATGTTACTATTAATAATGAAAGTGTGATGTTAAAGATCACTGAGTCAAAGTGGCAAAGAGTTAATATTTGCATGTATTTTGGAGAGCGCATCTTCACTAATGTCTGATAAGGACACTATTACCTCAAAAAAGTCTGATCAGTTTTGAAGTACTTGCAAAGTAGCACATTAATGCATTACGAGATAATTTGGTTTATTAAATCATTAATTAGACTCATAGTCTTATGCTACAATAAGATAGCATATGCTTATTTCATTCTTAACACTGTCGGAAATTCAGATTTTAGCTATGCACTTCAGAAAATTAATGGCATAAAAGTAGGCCTAGGGTATTACAGACAACTGTTTAGTGCAATCAGGAAAATCAAGAGGCAGTTTATGAAATAAAAGAATTACAAAGAATTTAGGATTTGCTCAGTCAGAAAAAAACCCTTAAAAATAATGTACCTCACCAGTGCTGTGTATTGTGAATGCAGATCAATGATTCCATGGTGTAATGGTGCCACCTTCTGGAAAGCTGTGAGGCCAGCTTCTGAATTTTGATGCTTTACAAAACATCTCACTCTTTCCTTCTTTAATTTTACTCTGGTGGAGGAGGTGAGATAAAGGAAATACCACTCACAGGAATCTGTCTTTTTATGTCAGAAAGTCCAGGTAGAGAAAGTGAGATTTCATTTCTGTTATAACAGAATGTTGTTTTAATGTACTCTCTGAGTTATGCTAGTGTAGCCCAGATTAAAGAATATCTGCTCTTAATGAGAGCACCTGTTGCTTGCAGTATTTTGTAGTACTACCTGTCTAATGACTTGGCTGATAGGTGTGCTTCTCCTTTTGACACTTTATGTGTCTAAACTGGTTCTGGGATTTTTTTTTCTAATGGATATTATTTCTGTATTCTGAATTCTCATAGTCAGTTACTCGACAGTAAATAGTTTCTACCTGTGTCTAGAAATTGGCAAATTTTTCTTCCACTGAGGTAGTAATATGTCTTGGAGATGAGCTGCTGCTTCTTTTTGAATGCCTGCACTGTCTACAACTGTTAGGAATGCCACAGACAGCAGTTTGATACTAGATGAGCATGTATCACAGTGAGTTACTAACCATAACTAATACTTCAACCTGAACCAAGAGCAAGTAACCATTTAAAATCTAGCATGTTGATACTATGACTCAACAACAGCTGAACTTGTTAATTTTGTACTCAGTTCAGTCTCAAATGCTTTCAGGATGTATTCTGCAGATGGTATTATAAGGCTCTAGAGTCATCTGCCAGTCTTGAAATGAGTGGTACAGCAACTTTTTACCTCATGGTGGAGATTTGACTTTTTCTTTAAGGGCATGCTGCTCTTCCTTCTTGCTTTGAGCTCTTTAGAAGTCTGAAAATCATGAAATTCTGTATAATATATATCTGTTTGGGGTCACGTGATAAATTTTTACGTTTAGTTGTATATCTCAAATCAGGTAAAACTACAGATAATCTATTTTCTGTTGGTCTCTAGCTGTGAGTACTCAAACCCACTGATAGTATCAACATAGTTCAAAATTCCAAATCTCCCATTATCACTGGATTATTTATTTTTGTTTTTAAGAACAGTCTGTTAATGAGTCTTTATGTACAAATACTTATGTCTATGTGATCTCTAGATGGACATTCTGCACAAATGATAAAAATTAACTGGTAGCTTTTGTGTCAGCAAAAATTCACCTAAACTGTAAATTTTAGTAATTATGGTTGATTAGGGTATTATTTGTCAGTATTTCTCACATCAGTGAGAATACAACATGAATGTATTTTTAGTATACATGTAACTATTCCTTTGTATTCCAATTTTTAAAAGTATACTTCCATATAAAGCCAGCATTATATGTTTCCTGAGCTTTTTTCCCTGAATGTTTTGAACAGTAGAACAATATAATTCTGTTGAGAAAGGTGAGTGAAAAAATATTTGTTCTACAGCAAAAACTAGTACCAAAATTGCTTTGTTTACTGTAGGAGAATATTATTAATGAGTCCTTTAGTTTGGAGGGCATCTATTTTACTTTAAATTATCTAAAAAGCAGGTATTCGGGTGTCTGTATTTTTTTTCTTCCTTGATGTTCGTACTTCCTTGGTGACCACTGAATCCAGTTGAAATCCTGGTGATTTTATTGTTCAAGAGCAATAATAAATCCACCAGGACTTTGTGTTGGCTGTGTTTAGGAAGGCACATATTGCTGCCTTGAAGAGAATACTGATTTACATAATTTTCATTTGTTGAAGACCACTGTGTCAAGGGCCTTTCACTGTTAACCTGTACTTTCATCTGCTCGTGTTTCCTAACCCTTAAAATGGAATTTCACTCTGTGTTTGGATCTGAATATCTGCCTTTCTTTCATTTCTGAAAATGTGCTTCTTATAGTTTCTGCCACTTCACATTGGGAAGCACTAACATGATTCTGTAGTTTTCTAGCCTGTGTAAGGTTTTTTTTAGTGTTTGCTTTATTCTGTGGTATGACTCCCCCCTTTTCTGAAGGAGGTGTCTGGTAGTCTGTCATCTGGTTTTTGAAGGTATATGAACCCAGCATTAGGGTACCAATATTAAGAGCATCCTTCCATATAATAGTGTTCATTTAAAAAAAAAAAAAAAAAAAATTCCAATTTGAAGGAATGTACTTATTTGCAGCTTTGAGAATGGTATGCTTAACATTTCCTTCTCTCTAAATATAACCAGTCTGGACTTGGAAGAAGTTTCTGCACAGATTTCCTCATCAGTTGAAGTACTTAGCTCTTCTATGTTGTTGTAGTTTGAGCCTGGTGAGCAGCCAAACACCACACAGCTGCTCACCCACCCTTCCCCCCAACCTGGGAATGGGGGAGGGAATTGGAGGGGTAAAAGGAGACTCACCGATTGAGATGGAAACAGTTTAATGATGGTAATAAAATGAAAACAATGACAGTAATAGAAAATACAAACAGGCAATGCACAATGCAGCTGCTCACCACCCGCTGACCAATCCCCAGCCCGTTCCCGGCCAGCGACCCCGAGATACCAAGATCCCGCAATCGCAATCCCAGAAGTGAGAGAGAGAGAGAGCTCCTTCCCAACCACCCCTCCTTTATATAGTGAGCATGACATTCCATGATATGGAATATTTCACTGGCCAGTTAGGGTCAGGTGCTGTGGCCGTGCTCCCTCCCTGCTCCCTGTGCCCTTGCACACGGGCAGGACATGCGGAGTTGGAGAGTCCTTCGAATCTCAGCAGCAGCTGAAAACATCAGTGTGCTATCAGCATTCTTCTCATAGCAAACCCGATGCTGAATCCAAAACACAGCACTATTCTAGTTACCAAAAAGAAACGTTAACTCTATTCCAGCCCAAACCAGGATACATGCCTCAGTCTCTACAAATTGGGAATAATTGCATTCCACTTCAAGATGTTTTCTGAACCTTAAAAGCTTCTGTTAAAAGAGCAACGCAGTGAGCCTGAGGTTACTTGCAGTTTCCTGCCTCGTATCTGCTAAGTGCCTTCTGTGTAATTGCATGGGCTGTCCGTTGTGTGAACATTCATCAAAAACGTCTTAACAATATACATGAATTTTTATAGGGAAGTTTGTGCAATGGAAGTGAGAACTGCTAAGTGTTGTAGACTGCTGGAGTGCTCAAGCAGTAGATGAGCAAGTCCTTTCAGATCTGGCAGCTACACATCTATGCTGCCTCTATGAAAATAAAAGAACAAAATGGAAAAAAAAAAAAAGTCTGCATTTCTCTCTGACAGAACTGTACTTAAAAGTAAACGTCAAAAGTAGTTGAGAATGAATTCCTTAAGAATTTAAGGATGTGAAGAAATTCAGAAATTGTAGAAAACTAGGTATTTACTCTTACAGTTTAACACATGGGACTTTGTGCTTGGCTTCTTCAGGTATGAGGAGCTTTTTTTCAGTTACTCTTGTAGTCTTAAAGTTAGTTAAGGGTGATAGAAAATTCTGATGTTTTTGTCCTCACATCTTCTCCAATGTATTATGTTTTATGTTCTTTTGAAGATTAACCTGTCAGTTAAGCACAGCAAAACTGGGAAGAAGTAGTAGTCAAAACATAATAATGCAAGCAGAAAATGGCTCCTTCTGTTCTGCTCACTTCTGCGATGAATTGGGATGCGGGTTAGGTCTTTAAAAAGTCAGTGTCCAGGTTTGAAGTGGTTCTACTTCTTTTTGGCCAAAGCCTGTTCCAACAAGTTTAAAGTATGTTTGACTGTTTTCATTTTTAAGGACACTTATTTTATTTGTTTATGTTATTTATAGCTATGTCATTTATTCCTTTGTTAAATATCTAGACTACTGCTAGAGTCGGCTTAAATATACATAACTTCTAGAAAGTATTTTGTATACTTTCCATGGACGTTTTGGTCTGTAAACATTCTTATGCAAAAAAAGCCCCCACCTTTTCTTCTGTTAAATGCTGTGTAAAGCATCAGTTGTGTGATTTATTACAAGTAATGAAATATATGAACAAGCAACTTCTGATTCTGAGGAAAATATCCTTCATGTAGCCAAATCAGAAGTGGTTATTAGTATTATTTGCAGTCCTGATCTGCAAGACATTGTATCAAATGGAAATACAAATTACCTTAATAATGGTATTTACTGGTTAAGTAACTTTTCTGTGTGCTACAGAAGTAATATATATATATATATATATATATATATATATATATATAAAACATGCAATGGTTAGATGAATGATTTTCTGACCAGGAAGACTTGTGTGACTTGAATTAAATAGTTGTAAGATAACTTTGATTGTTTACAAAATAGGTTCAAACTGTCTGGACAGCTGCCCTTACTTTCTATCCAAATATCAGACCGGAAGCTGACAAGTATCTTGGAGCTAATTGATAGCATTCCTAAGCCAGAAAGTGCTCCTGCTACCAGTTCTCCTCCAAAAATAACTGAGGTAAGTTTTTTTTAAAAAAAAATTGTTAATAATTATCAGAAAATACTTTCTTCTATTAGCATTGCAGTTTTGAAAGAAGCACAAAAAAGTGGAGAACAAGCATTTACTTAGTACCTCTTGACAAAATTAGCTAATTCTCTAAAGCTTATAGAAATTTTGCTTATTATCTAGATAGTTTATTGTGATATTTAGCCAGTAGCTTTGTGAGATAGTTTTGCAGTGATTGAATTTAAAATAAAAAAATCCCCAAACTTTTACTACTCTGGGAATTACTCTGTATTTCATATTAATCTTGATCAACAAACATTCACTTCTGTTGAGGATTAGTTTAACTGTACCTTCAAATTTACAAGCTCATAAGAGTACTGGAGAGTTTGGGTTCAGCTCTTTTGTTTAGTGAAGAAAAGGTTGAAACCTTGGAATTTTTGAAGTTGAAGTATTACATGGATCTTAGTCAGGCAGGAGTTCAACTTTGAAAAACAGAACAAAAAATATCAACTATTTGTGGCTTACATTGGCTAAACAGTGCCTGCCTGGCAAAAGGGGCAGCTTCATTTCAGCTGACTTCACTGCTCTTCCCAGCTTTTCTGTATTCAGTTATACAACATACTGGAGTGGGTGGCAGTTCTGCCTTGCATTTCTAAGATTTAGGAGTGTGGAGTGCATTCTCTCTCTACTTCCCCACTCCCTTTCCTTAGTGAAAATGGTTCAGGTCACTGTTTTATGCTTTGTTCGGGACAGATGATTGCCACCTTCTTGTTTTTATAAAGTACGTTTTACCTTTTGATATGAACTGTTTTCAACAAAACTAGGAAATTAACTCTGAATTGATAATTTTTAACATCACTGTAGTCTGCATGATCTGACTATGTTTTCCTGTATCTTTAAAGCAGTCCTATCATTTGAACATACATGAAATCTCAAAGTCAGACAAAATTGGGCCATCCGGTTTTCCATCATTTGTAAATACTTTTAAAAATCTGTTATTTAATCTTTTATGTACTTGATTTTAAAGGAATAATGGTAATCTTTGTGTTTGGTTGTTTTTTTTTTTTTTTTTTAAAGTGGTTACTTGATAATTATCTTTTCATCTCTTTACAAATTATTCTGCCCTGTTCCTGATGGCTGTTGCTGCAGTTTTGGTGGTGTTTTCTGTAAATTCAATAACTGTAAATGTACTTGACTGGACACACATATCTATTGAAAGTGAGTAGAGAGTGGAGATTGTTTCCCTTAAACATACAGTTCCTGCCATCTCTTTCATGGTGACATTCAAATTCAGCAGGTGCTGACCTGCTCTTTCATTCTTCATATACTAATAGTATCCCCAGCCAAAAGCTGCCATAATCTGTTTTGTGCAACTACTCACAAACAAACTTTATTCAAGGATTTTAGTTTTACATAAATAAAATACGCATATACAAGATGATTATCCTGTACTTACAACATTGCCTATACTTGAATTTAATTATAGAATTCAACAAATTTAAAATATTTTAAGTGACTTTGATGTGCTTAGTATTACCTGTAAGTTACTTGTGGTGTACAAGATGGGGTGAGGAAAGACTTTTGAGCCAGTGTGAATGTATTTGCATTGTAAGCAGCATCCGTATAAAAACCTATGGTTTAGCCTATCTGTTCAATCTTCCATCTACTGCAGAGTTTGACATACTATAATCGCTGGTATTAAATTCAGTTAGAGTGGATTTGTTGCTTTGGTAGTAGCAGATATACTTTGATGCTTTCATCCTTGTAGCTGAAATTCTTCTGAGCTTTGTTGCCATCACATTACTTCTGAACTGAAAAGGATGTGAAATCCTTTTTCAGACCTCTGAATGTGAACTTTGCTCTTTACATTTTAAGTTAGTGGAGGAATTGTTCTTGGACTGTGAAAACAAGAATTCTCAAACCAGATCCTTCTAGATTTTTGCACCCTGCACTCTTCTTGTACTTCGGTACAAGAAGTCTGTCCACTTCAGTGTGGAAGGCTTTATTTCTCATGATTTGATACGTCTCACTGTTTCTTCTCCTTGTCATCTTAGAATGTGAAGGTGTTATAGATGAGACACTTTCACAGTCACAAGGCTCGTAGAGACTTGGTGTATCTGTCATTCATAGGCATGTATATATTCTGTAAGGTCAAATTATGCAGGCTGCAGGCTGAGAAGAGAGACTGTTGAAATGAGGGAGCTGAAAAATGGAGCCTTGGAAACAGCTTTCAAAGATGAATATTTCTTTGTTGCCATAATACTTAGATTTCTGTAAGATACTGTGAGTTACTGAATAATTGTCTGAGACTAGGCTTTGAAAGTAGCAGTAAGAAGGAAAAAAAAAAAAAAAAGTACTGACATCTGTATAGTCCAGAGGCAAAGGCACTCAAGAAGAAAGGGCCAACCAGATAACACACGCTGTCTCTCCTTACTTTAACACTCTGTGCAAGACACATGTATGCTAATTAAATGTGTATGTGGAACATGCAGGTGAGAATTCTTTACAAACTCAAACTACTGACACTACTTTCTGAGGTTTGATGGGAAACCTGGCTTTAGTGAATAAACCATTTGGTTATTTCCATTAAGAGAATTTAATTCTGTTATATGATACTACATGGAGTGAGGATTCTTGTTCTTTTGTCCACTCTAGTGGGAAAACAGTGACATTTCATACATTTTCATTTATTTCTCTGGGTTATGCATAGGTACATCTCACAATTAAAGACTCTACTAGCACCTGTAGGGCCAAGTGCCAGGTCCTGCACTTGGGTCACAGCAACACCATGGAATGCTATAGTCATGGGGAACAATGGCTGGAAAGCTGCCCAACAGGAGAGGACCTGGGGGTGCTGGTCAACAGCCGGCTGAGTATGAGCCAGCAGTGTGCCCAGGTGGCCAAGGTGGCCAACAGCACCCTGGCTGGTATCAGAAGCAGTGTGGCCAGCAGGACTAGGGGAGTGACTTCACCCTGTTCTCGGCACTGGCGAGGCCGCACCTCGAATACTGTGTTCAGGTTTGGGCCCCTCAGTGCAAGAAAGACATTGAGGTGCTGGAGTGTGTCCAAGGAAGAGCAACAAAGCTGGTGAAGTGTCTGGAGAACAAGTCTCATGAGGAGCAGCTGAGGCAACTGGGGTTGCTTAGTCTAGAGAAAACCTGAGGGAAGGACCTTACAACTACCTGAAAGGAGGTTGTAGTGAGGTGGGTGTTGGTGTCTTAAATGATGTCCCCAGTGATAGGACAAGAGGAAAGTATCCTCCAGTTGCACTGGGGAAAGGTTTGGATTGGATATTAAGAAAAATTTCTTTACCAAATGTGTTGTCAAGCACTGGAACCAGCTGCCCAGGAAAGTCTTTGAGTCACCAGCCCTGCAGTTATTTAAAAGGTGTGGAGATGTGGCACTTACGGACTTGGTTTAGTGGTGGACTTGGTAGTGTTAGATTAACAGTTGGACCTCATTGTCTTACAGGTCTTTTCTGACCCAAATGATCTATATTTCTATGAAATTTAGAGACAATCCTATCTGTCCTAATGTTTTCTCTAGCTCCCTTTTCTTTTTTATCCCCCCCCCCCCCACCTGCCACTATTACTTATATGATTTATAGAAAGAACAGTTGATCTTTTACTGTACTCTGAAGTCGTCAAACTGTAGTCCTGTGAGGGAGTAGGTTTTGTCTTTCCTGAGTTTTCATATGATGAGTGTTTCTGTCCATCTTTTGATCTGTAAAGTTGGATGTTTGATTATCTTTGTTGTGTTTCCTGATATATTCTCTCTGTAGCTAGATGAGCATGCAGTATTTGCTGCTTCTGCCTGATTTAGGGCTCATTTCTCCCCATGCTTTTAATTTTAGTAATGTGTTTAACTGTAATGATTTGCACTTAAAATAAGACCAACTTCCTTAAGTTGTAAAACTTCCATACAACATAGGTGCATGCAAGTAACATGACCAATGAATTAAAGAATTTTATAATATCTCCTGTTTCAGGCTGCAATATCCCCTGTGCTCTCAGCACCACATTTATCGCAAGGTTTGTTTCCTGTTTTGGATCTTCATTCATTTGCGGAGTCAGGTAATATGATCTGTTTTAAAATGTGAGTTAATGAACAAGGGAGGTCAAGTTTTTGAGTTCATGGAATTAATTTGTTTCTCATGGAGTAAGTGACCATTTGTGGCTTTGTTTCAAGTTCTTGAAGTTTGAGGAGTGTTATATTCTGTGCAGCTTCTTATAATTCACTCTGTACAAAAGATCTGTATATTTTCTCATAGCAGTAAAATTCTGTATGCTTGTTCTTGCTGTTCCCTTTCTGAAAGCATGCAGTAAAATATTTATTTAGTAGGATGAGTTTGTTTATTTTTGTGTTTGCATATGTTACTACAAATCTCTATTCAGAACATCTGAAATAGTATGTATGCAATCTTTTTTTCCGTCAGTATATACTCAGTCCTCTGATGATGGTTTTAACTATTCTATTCTGCTGAAGGATTTCTTTCCTACTTATCTGGGTTTATTTAAATCACAAAATACTGAAAGAGTGACTGTTAGAAACTACTGTGTTGTTATGAACAAATGTAATTTTGACTCCTACAGGATCAAACAGAAGACTGGCTGTGGAGAAACTGGTCACATTTAAAACTACCATGCTGTTCAAACGGCTTAATTAGATTGTGATGTTTCATCTAGTGGTTACATTTGAAAAATAATCAAATATATCAGTATTATTTTAGTGTCAATCACATTTGTCTTGCTAAAACACTCAGCTGGAGAAATAGAGAGCAATACTTTTTCTCCTCTCTCAAGTTAAAGACATATGTGGTTTGCAAGCACATATAGAAAAATTATCAGCAAGTTAATTTTTACATCTAATTTATCACTTTAAATTTAGTGTGTGTATGGTATGTATAGAAATATGTATCTGTGCATCTTCATCTGTTTTTTTATATGAGTTTGTTTAAATGCCCAAAGGCAGAAAGCATTACGCAATTCTTAAAAATTAGGGTGAGATGAGAGCAATCAACAATTAATTTGAGAAATAACTAGATTTAGATTGAATTAAGTCTGTTTTTTAATTTATACCATATATAGAGCTCTTCTGTCATTTTAAGGGATACATGTTATTTTTCTGTCTTCTCCCCCCAGTCTCAAGGGTGCTTTTGAGCCTTAGACAAATACCTCTTAATGTCATTTGTTCAGCTTTGTCAGAAGGATTGTTCTTCCTCATTTACCTTTAACTTAATTGTTTGTTTTTTAGGTGAAGTAAAAAACCCTTATAAGGTGGTTCAATTTGTTTGTCTTGGTTATGCTTCTGTGATAATGTTAGGTGGATTAAAAGCTTGATAAGTCCTTAGGAGTCTCTCCTGAAACAGGAGATCCTTAGCAGGGAGAGATCCAAAGTAGTGCCGCTAACGGTAAGATGAAGGCTTCTGTATGGTCAGCAGCAGTCAGACCACCAGAAGAGTTATTAAGCATCTTAGTACACGCCAAATGCAAGATGAGCCACAGTTTGTGCTGTCTTTTGCACAGCCAATAGTGAGAGAATGCTGATGAAGGAGTTAGTTGACAAGAACTGATTTATGATGACATGATAGAGGGAACTGTAGGTGTGGTGAAAAGTTGTGTAGGCAGGAGCAGAGATAATTATAGAAACAAACTTTGCTGGTTGCAAATTATCAGCTAGGTGATCTTTCCATACTTGTACATTTAAGTTTTTATAGATGTAGACATAAAAGTTCTAGGTCATAGTACTGCAAAATATTTGCTGTCTAGAATATGTATCTAATAATGTTGTGAATTAATCCTTAGAATCAGAAGAAGAATTTTATGATGCTTTAAGCAGTCCTGTGGAAGACATGCCATTTTTTGAAGCTCCATCTGGTTCCCTCAAACGAGCTAGCAGTACAAGGCGAAGAAAACTACGTAAACAAGAATCTTTGAAAAATATGACAGAATTCCAGCTAAGGTTTGAAGTAGCTGAGGTAAAGTTACTGTTTGTTTTTTTTTTTTTTTTTTTTTTTTTAATTTCTCTGAAGCACATCTGAACTGTAATTTTTCCCTCTGTCGCATTTATGAATCCATGTCTGCAGAGGTATGGGTTTCCCCATTTCTTGCTGACACTATTCTGTAGTTTTTTTCCAAGTCACAGCTGTGCTTTTGCATGATTGTTGTCACTGAAATGCTTTGATTTATGCACTTTATTTCCCAACTCATTTTATCACTGAATTTCTTTACCTATTACTCAAAAATAACATTATGTATTTGTTTTGGCTTAAGATGTAGATTTTGATATCTTTTTTTCCAGATTCTGCTGTGGTAACAGGGAAAACTTACTTAATGTTTCATCTTGAATCAACACCCTGTTTTTCTGCTTCAGTTTTTCTCCATTTTTTTTTTTTCTGTTATTCTCATACCTAAATCTGTAACATATTCACTGAGATGTTTTATGTGTCAGTTCTTGCTGTTTCAAACTCCGGGGGGGAAAAAAAGCGTATTTTTCTAAATGCAAGACAATGTCTCTAATTACATCAGTTGGTCTAGTAAAAGAGATGGCCTTTTACCACTAATCGCTACCTTTATCATTAGACTATCATGGCTATGACACTGTTATTGCTGTTACTATGTAACTTTACAAGTATGTGTAACTTCACAAATAAAAAATACAAATTCAGTCAATTTACAAATTCTGTTTTAGGATATGGCTTCAACACATTATAACTAGCTTGCAATGTATTATATACTACACTGTATAGAAAATATATAAACAAAATTGAAATGTACTGTTTTTTTGTGTGATGATAAGACCTTGTCTAAGAACTACTAGTCTAAAGAGGGATGCTATATTTTCCATTATTCTCTAATGGAAACTATCTTACAATCTCTTAGAAAAAAGTACAATTGAGAATCTATTAAGAAGCACCTTCTCTTTGTTGGCTTTGTAGTTTAAAATAACTTACTGGGTTTGGTTTTGGTTTTCCCTACTTGTAGAGAGCATTATATGGAAAGGAAGAGTCCATATCTTTGTATTGCCTTGTTTGTGAAAGACAGATAACAGCTCAGCTAGGTATTTATTTAACAACATCTTTGCCATGCATGGGTGAAAAAGTAGGAAATCCTCTTTCTTGATACTCAGCTTGGGAATCTAACTCTTACCACAAGAGTTTAAGGAAATTTCAGTGAAAGTGGTAAACTCTTTATGCTGACTGAAAATCTAGTTTTGACTGTTTTGAATATTACCAAATGCTTTACAGAGTTGTTTTTAAAAATAAATTAGTTCATGTAGGTGTAACTTTGGTATTACATGTGTGCATATTTAAATTTTTGTTAAAATAGCAGCAAACAGTATTCTAGCAATTTTGCATGTTGAACTGTTTATTTTTTCCAAGGTATTTGCTGTTTAAAGTTAAATGATCAATACACATTAACCAGTAAAATGTATGTAAATATATAATCCTATATAAAAGCTAAGAGGATAATCCCCTACTCTTTTTTTTTTTTTTTTTTTTTTTTCTGTTTTTATTTCTTTGTTTGCTTGTTTTGTTTGGGTTTTTTTTTAGGTCTTAATTAAATTATGCCGTCTTACTGGTAATACTGAGACACCTGTGCTGCAGCTTGATATTGTAGGGTTAGGCACTGAACTTAAATTGAGAACATTTGACATGACTGCAAATGCTTTCCTTCGTGAAGTTTGTCTGCTGTGCCCAGAATATATGGGTAAGTATTTACAGTTTGATCAAAAACTTATTGACAAATAACACTGTGAATTTGTGTTCATAAAGCCAGTAAGGCTTTATTTGATCAGCAGAGGAAGATTGGCTTCCTAAATTAAATGGGGCAGGGAGGAAGGGAGAAGTAATTCAGCAGCTCATTCTCTTAGTAGTGCTTTGGAAATACGCTCTAGTGCTGCTGATGTTGTTAGAGACATCTAACTATTTTAGGTCTGCAGAAGAGGTTTTGTGATTAAATAATAATAACAGCTAGTAGTCTAGTTTGTCTATAGTCCATAGATTATAAGAGTTGTAGAAAACTTGTCTATTTTTTTTTCTTAAAAATAATTTTTTTTATTCTTTTGGGTTTTTTTAAGATGATAATGACAAGCCAGTTTACATAGTTACTACTTTGGATAATGTAGCAGACGATCTTCTTGCTCTGGAGTACATAAAGGTGAGAAAAGAGGAGACTTTGATTTTGAATGGTAAGCTAGTCATAAAAAGTATAGTATTACTGAGCAATTGTTGAAAGTTTTTCCTTACATACTAATTACCTTTAACATATCGAGTGTCATGTGTAAAGTCTGTCTAATCCCTAAACAGATTAATTTCTACATCTTAAGTTGTAGTGGTTTTAGAAATAAATTCTCTCTAATGAAATTCACAAACTTCTCATTTGTTTGTTTTCCAGTGCACTTTTGGTGGAATAGGCTGATATTAATGGACCAGAACTGAAAACTGCCTATCAGAATGTTCTACAGAAAATAAAGGTATGATATCTTTTTTAACATAATTTTCTCACTGTGGGAAGAGAGACATACTGAATAAACATAATTTGTTCTTTTAGGTAAACTTTTCATCTCTTGATATTCATTTGCATACTGAAGCTCTGCTGAATGCTATGAACTATCTGAATAATCTTCTACCGAAACAAGAAACTAAAGTTGCAGAAGAACCAGTCCATGAAAAAACAGAGGAGAAGAAGGATGTTCTTAAGAAACTGAGTAAGTTGCTTTATTTTTTTTTAAACTCTTTTCATTCCTCTCCACTTATTTAAACAAGGAAGCAAATACACTTTTTAAAAATTTTTGTAACTCTGTCAATGACTTTTGAATTGAGGAATTTTGTTTAGGATATATTTACTTATCTGCTTAGCAGCCTCTTTTAATTTCAGTGGTAGTAAGAACGTTAGCCATCAGACTACTATGGAGTAACAAGGGTATACTCATATTGCCTGGCTGAAAGTCTGTAGGTGACGAATAACTATATGATTAATGAGGCAAGGTAGATACTGCAGCTATTGAGGTTTTCTGAGGTAGCTATACTAAGCATGTTTTTTGAAGATATGTGTTCAGATTCACTTAGTTATGATAATCTGCATTGGAATGTTAGTTTACTGGCAGTGATTATGTACCTGGTAGTGTACTCACATATAATGAGAAAAGTATTTTTGCATTACAACATTTATATGGAAAAGACATTTGTAAAAAGTAAGGAAATAAAAAAACTTCATGGGTTAGAAAATTCAGCAGGAAGGTGAAAATTTTCTGTGGTAAGTGTATTAAATATATTCTAGACACTTTTGTGCTTTCCAAATAATAGCATAATTACTGTTTTCATCTAACTCCGTAGTGAAATGACTTTGTACACTATCTTTCTTCACACCATCAAGATATTTTTGTTGGTTTAGGTTTGCAACCTGCGGATAGGTACTCATTTAGCAATTATTGGCATGTAGATTTTGGCTGTAGACATTAGTACAGGATATACAGTACTACATTTCATAAGCTCAAAGTCAGTTTTGGTTGCTAGTGATCTACTGATTTGCTGAATGGCTCAATTCTGTTTGGCACCAGTTTTGTAGGAATGATTTGTTTGAATTTCTTCTTTGGGTTTATGATCGGGCATGTGAATTTGGATTTACCTTGAAGTGTAATAAATAAGAAGTCCTTGCATAGTGGAAGATGGCTTGAGCATTTTCAGTCTTCTGTTATAAGAAGCTGGTAATATCATTCAATATAGGTTACTGTGTTTTTAGGGACACATCCTGGTACTCTGTAGGTATCTGGTTTGTATATACAAGTTTAGGGTTCCTAGCTTTCCTTGGCCTGCAAAAGCAGTATCAGTGTTTCATTCTGAAAGGAGTGCAGGTCAGTCAGTTATTTAACAATATTTGTCTGAAGGATTATTTTGCTTTAATAAGGTTAATCTCTTTCCGTATGTAACTTTCTGACATATTGGTCAAGACATAACTTTGCTATGTATTCAAGACACTGAGTATATTAAAAAATACATCCATAATTTGTCTTTTCTTTCTTCTTTTTTTTTTTTTTTTTTTTTTTTTCCCCCTGGGATGAATTAAGACTCTTTTGATTTGCCTTAGCATTATTATAGTTACTTTATTACCTTATAGTTGAGGTAATACATTGGTCTCTTGTGAATAACGTGCTTACTATGGAATTTTATCATTCTCTGAACAAGAATTTGGCACGTCTGATTTGTTGATAAAGTTGTGCAAGGGCAAACAGATCACCTCAATTTTTTGATCTTGTGTCTAGGAGCTACTTTGAAATGAATGCTTCTATTAAATGCTCAGCATTATGCCAGTGATGTTCATTTCTGCTCTAAGAAGGGCTTCTCTGAGATCTTTGCAATCTTTGCTTGCTGTTAATCATAAAACACTGAGGGTCCAGCTAGTTATTAAAAAAAAAAGAAAACACACACACACAGAACTGTGGTGGAGGATAATTCTCACGGTGATTCTAGTTGAACTTTTGTAACATGTGCTCTGCGTTTACTGATTTCAATAGTTCCCTCATATCACTGACCCAGTGTCCTGGTTTGAGTCCAGGGGGCAACTGAGCACCATGCAGCTGTTCACTCACCCCTTCCACCCCAGTGCTGGGAAGGAGAAAATGAAGCAAAAGTCTCAGGAATCTAGATAAGGACAGAGAGTAGTGGCTCACCACCCATTAAGGTCACAGGCAAAAGGCAGACTCATTAGGAGAAGAAAAAGAACATCACTTTAATTCAAATGCTAGCAAAGACAACACTTAACAGACAATGTGGGACAGTGAGAAGCACCACTACATCCCCAAAATACCTCCCCCTCACCTCTCCTTTCTTCCTAGGCTCAGCTCCGCTCCGAATATCTCTGCCTTCTACCCCAGCAGCGCAAGGAGCAGGGGGTGGGGGTTACAGTCAGCTCACCACTCCTTCCTTCTCGGGAGGGGGTGAGCACTGCACATTCCTTCCAGCTTCCATATGGCTGCCCTCTCACAAGAGACAGTCCTCCATGAACTTTCTCTGGTGTGAGTCCCTCCCATGGGATGCAGCCATTGCCGAGCCGCTCCAGTGTGGGTCACCCCTGTGTGTTGCGGTCTTCCCAGCACCAAACTACAACAGCGGGGGCCACTTCTTCCCACAGGGTCCCAGCCTCCTTTAATTGCAGCCACCTGTCCCAGTGTGGGCTCCTCCACAGGCTGTAGGTTGGTGTCTGCTCCACTGGTGACCTCCAGGGGTGGCAGCGGTGGGGGTGGGGTGTGGCCCTGTCCTCTCTATGGGCTGCAGGGGTCTCTGCTCCAGCACACGTCCCCCACTTCCTCCTCCTTCCTTCCAGTGACCTGGGTGTTCACATAGGTGTCCTCCACCCAACCCCAACTCCTCCTCCCATGTTCCCCTTCCTAAATACGTTATTGCAGAGGTGCAGCCACCATCGCTAATTGGCTCAGCCCTGTCCACAGGTGGGTCTGACTTGGAGCTGGGGGAGCTTCCAGAAGCTTCTCAGAGGGGCCACCGCTGTATCCCCCTCTCCCACTTCCACAAACCCAGCGCAGCTAGCCAACCGGCCGGTACACTGATGAGATCTTTATGAGGCTGCCTGCATTCACTCATGTTAGTTCTTATAAGCATTTCGAGTTAACCTTCAGTACTAGCTTGGTATCTTTAAACCCCAAGTATCACATTTGCAACATTTGGTGAGATTTTTTTGGAATGTTAGTTTGCGCTGCCTTTAAAACATATTTCTGTTTGGGAAAACAGACATACATTTGTAAGTCTTGTGTGGACTCATATTCAGTGATTAATTCACAGTGTTGCTGAATGTCAGTGGTTTTATTATGAGAGGTGGTGAGCTAGTAGCCTGACTGTGTTTTTTGAAGAACAACTTGAGACAGAAATGGTACCTGTACTAGAGAAAAAAAAAACTCAAGCTTTTCTGTGCACAGCTCTTCTTGGGATTTCAGTATTTGTTTCCCATATGTACTTAAATGGAATCAGTTACTTTTTTTAAGCATTATGAAAAGAAAGGTAATAACTGTGTCTGGAGCCAAACAGGTTTTTAACGAAATCATAAAAGATAAGGTTTGTAGCCTCTCTTTTTGGGGGGAATATGGAGGACAATGAAAGTGATACTTGCCTTAGGAATGATGAGAGCAGTTGGAATGAGATGTCACACAGCCATTATCCTTCAGTTTGGGATTTTTTATTATAACATCAGATTTTTAAGAAGTTTAGTTCCTCAGCCTGTTCTTTGAAGGTGTCTCCATTGCATGACAGAACTGAGAAGTAAAAGGTGAAATAATCACTCTGTGAAAAATATTCTTCCATTTCACTGTATTTTTTAAATTATTTTTTTCTGTATGAGATTGTTCTCATTCATGGTGGTTGTTTGGTTCTATTTATACAGGGACGTGCTTGGACACTAGTTGAAATACCATTTGTGTTCCTGTGCTAGTCTGTGAACTTAAAGGGTTCTGTAGCTTACTGAGAGCTGTGGACAGAAGATTCAGCACTTCTCTAACTTTGAACCATTTTGCTATGCAGGCAAACACTGAAGTGTTTGGTATCTTACATAATTCTTATTGAGAAAGGATTAAATTAGTTTCTTATGTATTAACATGCAACAATTTAGGCTTTAAACAGCTGACAGGCTTTTATGGGTGGTTCTCCTCCCTCCTTCTCCCCCGCTCCTGTACAGCTGTGCAGACTAAACTTTGGCTGAGAGTAGTTACTGGTTAATTTACTGTGGTTTGTCTTCTGTTAGCAACATACAGTAAAATCATGTGACTGAAGCTGATGTATTTATGGAACCATAGTTTGGTTGTGAGGGTTGAGAAAACCTTAACATACACATAATACTGAAATGTAATATTTCATTTGAAAAGCGAGGCTGTGGAAAAATGGGTTGAATGCTTATTACTTTTCATTTTGGTGCTTTGTTTTATAGATTACCTGTAAGACTTTGCCACTTAGAACTCAAAGTCTCTGAATACAAGCTATGATATTTCCCTTTGTCATTTGAAGTAGTGTGTAACATTGATTCAGATTTGACCTTCAGAAAAAATGGACTAAGTTACTGAGTCCCTCATCTGTTGACTTCTGTATTTAGCACCATACCAATAGATACTGTTGCGTGGCATCAGTCATGTCTACTCAGAATGAAGATAAATTATTTCTGTTAACAAGAAATAGAATATTTTTACTCTCATTCAGTTTTGGGAAAAACAAAAATTGAGTAAATATTTGGACACCTCTAATCTGAAGTGAACTGTATTTGTGCTTAGAGCTTTTGTAGATCTTAAGGTTGCCTGTACTCATTTTGAAGCATGCCCACTGTTCCTTCTCTTAGTGTGTAGTTATATTAATGGTATTAAGTTGCTTAAAACTTAAGTTTAGAAACTATAGGTTGTGGAGATTTAATAAAAAGTCACCTGGGGCATGTAAACAGGACCATTGATTGCAGACAACTAATCAACAGTCCAGATAGAGTACTATATTATTGTAGCCATCATATTACCACTATTTGAGGTAATCTGCTTAGTCCTGAATAACCTATCTCATTTTGCATTGTGCTCTGTAGATGTATATTAAATGTATTTATTGCAGTTAATAAAATAGGGATGTTGATTACCACAGTTTGTGAAGCATATGGGGACTCCTATATATTCAGTCCTGAATATGCAATTCTTGACTTGTACTTGCTTGTGTGAGTGCAGTGCGTTTTGCCAGTGCTGCAGGCTTGATACAAACTAGGCTTAGGGAAAGGGATAGTAAAATGCATCATCTCCTCCTTGAAGAACTATAATTTTTATTACTTTATATTTCCCACAGCATCAAAAAAATCCAAGTATGAAGATGTTATCGACCTCAATATCTGTGCGGATTTATCCTGTTTACGTATCTTTATTAGAGAGAAAAAACATAGAATAGCTGAAATTCACATTGAAGGTAGGAACAAAACTTTAATCACAAAAGCACAAAACTTTGTAACCAGGATAGCCTCTAGATTTTGTATGTCTTTTGGGGTTTTTTAAAAGGTCTGGATAGCCAAGTGATCATGAAGAAAGCAGCAACAGAAGTGACTGCAAAATTAAAGAACATCATTATTGTGGATTCTGATGAGATGGCATTGTATAAAAAGGTATGCATTTACATGTATCTGATTTCTGAATGAAATATAGATGTTAAATTGAACTTGCTTTGTGGGCTCCACTCCTTAACTGTGATTCTTCTTTTTTTTTTTTTTGTTAATAATGTTTTATGTATTTTCTGGGAGTATTATTCTCTGCAGGCAGACTGATTTCACCCCCACAACAGGTGATTGTTAGGCTGTCATTGATTTTGTGCAACTGTGATGCCCAGCTGCTCATTATGCTCCTTAGTTCGTTGACTTTAATGGACAGAATTATTCTATCGGAGATTCCAACTGAATATTTTCAGATATTTCAAGGATTTTTGTTTTTATTTATTGTCGAGATATTTGAAGTAATAAAAATGTCTTAGAAATGGGAGGTGCTACATTTTATTTTAGAATTCAGTTTCTCCAGCCTAAGTTTTTACAGTAGAGATACTCTTTTTTTTCCAAGGCTCTTTACATCACAGGAAAAGAAGTCTTCAACTTCAGAATGATATCATATGTGAATGCTACTGATGGCATTGCGTATACAAATATGGATGTTGTTGACAATCGTATTTACCTAACTGTTGGGTGTATTCAAGTAGTTTTTGTCAACAAGTTCGTTTCAACTGTTTTGGTAAGTTATGTTTTCCAGGTACTGTTCCTTAGCATTCAGATAACATTGTCAGAGCTAGACAAGGGTAATGTGTCCTTTATAGGGTGGTGCCCATTTGTGTAAGAACTCTTGTATACTATTGTAAAAACTTCACTGGGTTTGGTGGTTGGGCTATTTGCTTTTCTTCTCCATTTGTTTGTTGTTGTGGAGTGTGTGGTTAAGCAACAGTATTTGCTATCATTGTGAGTAATTTTTTTCTTTAAATGGCTTATGGCAGCTTTTAGATATACACACTGTTCATTATAATACTGAAATATAAGTAATATACCATGAAAATTAATGCCTTCTCCATAAATTCTGCTAAGTAAATCCATCTTTTACTCTCCTTATGACTTAATAAAATGTAATTAATACAAGTCATCTTACAAGGTCATTGCTGTTACAATCTGATTTGCCAGATACTTAGTATGGAAATTTATTTTTGCATGTATGCATACTTTATCATATGGGGGGGGATATTATCCTATTAAAGAATTCAGAAAAAGTGCATAGAAAAGTAATATCTTAAGATGGTTTACTACTGAAAAAACTGTGATTCTTAGTGTTTTTGAGGAAGTGTCATTCTTTATAAAATTCCCAAGATCTGTATTCTTTTCTTAGGCTTTTATAAATAACTTTCAAGCTGCCAAGGAGGCTCTTACTGAGGCAACTGTTCAAGCAGCAGAGAAAGCAGCTACAGGTGTAAAAGAGCTAGCGGAGCGTAGTTCCCGTTTGGCACTAGATATCAATATTAAAGCACCTGTTGTGATAGTTCCACAGTCAGCAATGTCTGCGAATGTCTTGGTGGCTGATCTTGGTTTAATCACCGTGAAGAACCAATTCTTTATCGCTAAAACAAAAACACGGTATAATCTCCCGCCTGTTGTTGACTCTATGACAGTGAAATTGAGTGAACTAAAGTTATACAGGTAATGTAGTGTCAAAGTGTTTTGTTTTTTTTTTTTTTTTAAATTCATGTAGTCCTTTTGGGATACTGGAGTTGGATAACTTGGAGAAGTTGTTATCAAAATAATTAGTTAATGATTGGTGGTTGAATGATACACTATTATCTTGAAATGGAACAACAAATTAATAAAGGTTTTGTAAAGGCAGTTCAAATGTATGGTTTAGAAGAAATATCAATCTACACATCTTTAAATAGAAGCAAATGTTTGTTTAGGGAATACTGTGTAGAATATTAGACCTATGCATCATTCACTACTTTGCGACAGGTTATACCCATTTGTAAACAGCTATTTTGGTGGGGTTTTCAAGCTATACATAGGAGAAAGTTATCAAGTTGGATAGCTGTAAAGAGGTGTTTGAAAATGGACCTTGGTGTGGTGGAGTTGGAGGGTGAGATGGAAGGGAATTTTCAAATACAGTTGAAGAGTGCTGAGGAAAGAAGGAATTGCTCTTTAGTGGAAAGCAGGTAAGAGATCCTAACTTGCAAGAAGTTAGTATGTTATGTGCCTGGTATGTGCTTGATGTGTCTCCTCCCTGCCAAGAAAAGATATCTAGTTGGTGGAGTAAGGCTTTAACTAGAGATACTAGTATTATTGTGAAGACTGTTTTACAGTACTATTCAAAAAATGAGGAAAAGACAGAAATGTGTTTTTGTGTGTTAGAATGTGTGAGTGGTCAGGCTGGGAGTATTTTGTTTGTGTTCACAGGTCATGCTTCGAGCAGGGTTCATTGCAAACTGAAGTACAGCTGCTGCAGCCACTCAATCTGGAAGTAGCTGTTGAACGAAATTTAGCTGCTGCATGGTATAACGAAGTTCCTGATATTGAAATATCTGGCCGACTGAAGCCTATGAATGTAAGCACTCATTTCTGAAAGCAGCTGTTAAAATACCTGTGAAAAACTGATTCATTTTTCTGTCCCCCAAAGTCCAAATTCCTTAGGGTATTGTTTGATTTCAAGACATACAGGTCAAGTGGATTTTGTTGTTTCATAGGGAAGAAGGAAGTCAAGATCTTTCTGTTCTAATCTAAGCTCTGTATTTCATCTGTGATACTTCAGGCAGACTTTGTACTATATATTACTGTTGTTATAGGCTTCTTTTACCTGTTAGTATCTGTCAAGGAAGGATTGGAAAAAATAGGGGTTTGTGGGCCTGTTGATTAGTAGCACGATTACCTGCTGAATTCATGTCCATGACAAACTTGAGTATGAGTTAATGCATGTGCTCATTTAAAATTAACATCAGAAATATAAAACTTGTCAGCTGTATGAGGAAAACAAATTTGCCAAATTTTGAAATAGAACTAGTAACCATTACTGTAAAGTACGTTGCGACTAAATGTGGGTAACAATTTTGGGCAACTGTAAGTCAAATTACACTTGTATGACTTCTAACATTCAATTTCTAAACTGTAGCTTTGTAAAGAAAGTTTGTGGACAAAACCAAACTAATGTGTGAACGACTTCTGATTTCTAGAAGTTACTATAAAGGATTGTGTGGATTTGAGAAAAACATTTTACTTGGTTCTTTAGTCGCCTAAACAGAGATGAGATAAACCAAATTAATCTATTTATTTGTAAACTTAGATTTTTAGTTACCAAATGTTTAATTAACTGAGTTGTTCTGAGTTTAACAACAATCTTTTTTAAAGCTGATTCTCAGTCAGGAAGATATTACCACAATATTGAGAACACTAAATGAAAATATAGGTGGAAGCTCTGGTGCATCAGCATCTTTACCGGAACCAAAAGATACGACTAGCCATTGTAGTGATATGCATAGTACTTCACAGCACTCTGCAGGTAATGTTTTCTAAAATTATGTGTGGTCTAGCATTTTTAGGTATTACAGTCAATTTATTATTCCTGTTGGAATTGCCTTTATGGCAAGATGCCAGATTCAGTTGTTTATAACAGTATGACTCTATTATCTTGACATTGTGGTTTGAGTTATGCCCAACAATAATGATAATGAATAGGGGCAACTAAGCCACTGTAGTGAGTTTTGTAGCATGATGTGTTTTAATGCAAGGACTGTTTTGTTCTGCTGGCAGTAATGCACTGAGCACCTAAAAGTCTGTCAGCTGGATTTGGTGACATGCCAATGTTGGAAAGTTCCTGTGTTACTCTTTTTCCTTTGTGTGTGGGTTCTGTTGCTGTTCAGTTTTAGATCTGTTTGTCTTGCTGTAATGGTGGCATCCCTAAAAGTTGTTTGTATTCAGTAGGCATCATTGCCCATGCTCAGCACACACTAAAAAAAAAAGGCAAGTAAGGCTAAGAAAATAATCTTTTATTGAACTCTTCTATTAAATGTGAGAAATAGCAAAAATATGGCAAGATGAACAAACAAGGATGAAAGTAAACTTACATTCTTTGTAACATTCTTTCGCACAGTACCATGCCACATTAAGGGAAGTCGAATATTTATGTCTTAGAGATGGTAAAAATTGCATGTAGAATATGTAAGTGGAGTGTTTTATTTTCTCAAATGTTGTGTGATTTAGCTAAAAGTTTTGTTTGTTTTTCTTTTTTCCTTATTTGCAGTCAGGAAATTTTCTTTAACATTAAGTGTTTTTCTAATTTCTGAAAGGTGTAACTGTTGTAACATCAGCTGTGGTGGAATTGCATTCACCTATGAAAATAAAGACAACACTAAAACTGGACTTCAGATTTGACTCTTTGACTTTAGTATTGTATAGTCCAAATTCAAAACAGGTAAATACAATTTTGTTGCAACAAGAAGGAAACAGCTTTAAGGTTGCCTAGAGTCCTGGAAATTTTGAATAGGAATAGTTTAATTTATGAGCAGAGAAAGTGATTTCTAGCAATATTAACAAACATGATGGAAATGGTAAACAGCTATTTTAACTAAACTGCATGACAGACATTACAGGAAAGAAAATAACGAGTAGTGGCACATAATACATGACATCTTCTGTGATCTGAATTAAAATTTGTTGAAAACTTACCTTAGTTTAAAATACAGTTTGGGAATTAAAAAATGCAGAGGGATACAACCTGTTCTTTAATCACACACACAGGTGTGTGTGGACACATACATATATAAATAAAATTATGGAGAGAGATTTCAAATTTGTATTACAGTATGAATGCATTTTTATACTTATTGGTTTAAATTTACAAAACGTATCAGCAAATTATGAACTGAAAATATGGTAATATTTTATTGTAAAATCATGGCCTGTTATTTTAGATTTTGAACAGTTTTCTGATATTTGACTGGACCCTACATGATCATAAGAGACAAAACTCCATTTTTTATTTGGCACCTTTGCACATACTGTGTAATTTTAAACATCAAACAAACCAAAATTACATAGGACAATTCTACTTTCTTTTAAACGTTGTCTCCCTCTCTCTATGTAAGCTTTAGCAAGCTGGTAGAAGGGTAAAGCTTTGCTTTTTTTCAGTTTTCTCTGTATGTTACTTATTTTTGTTGTCTTTCGAATTACCAGTAGGTTTACTTAATGTTATTGTTGCAAATCTTACCAATTAGAATAAAGCTGTCTGTCATGCCTCTGTATGATTTCCATTACCTGTGAGGAAATGTGCAAACGTTTTCATTTGATATAAACAGGTTACAAATTTGGATCAGAGAGATGACCTTTTGAAGCTTGCAGAGTTTAAATTAGTGTTGATGTCAGCTGCTGTCAAAATGTTATCAGATGGTTCAATGAATGCTTCAGTCAAGCTGGCAAACTGCACATTAGATGATAAAAGACAGTCAATCCAGAAGGCTACGCCAAGGTCTGTATTTTGACATAAATTACTGTTTAGTGGAGTTTGACAAAGAGTTCTAAATGCTTCTATTTTAATATTCTGTTAAAACTCCAGTAGTTTTGGTGTAGTGATTCTTAAAGTACATGTTACTGAATGTTTATTAGTTTTCCTTGCCTTTTGTTCCATGTGTTGTTCACGACAGACCAATATAAATCTAAAAACAAACTTTAATTATGAAATAAATCAGACTTTTAATATGAAATTAATAAATGCATATAGAAACAAATTCCACTTTCAGCTTTAATAAGAGTAAGATTTTTTTTTTCATGAAGAGTAACAAACTTCAGTAAAGTATAATACTTTTGATATGTAAACAAGGAGTTATGCTGGTTTACCTTGTTAAAATGATAACGCTTTAGTTGCCAATATATGGGAGTTCAGTTAGTTTTGAAGTTTATATTACAGAATTTATGTTAATGTTTTTATTCGTCACGTTTTAAAATTTTTGGTGTTAATTTTTAAATTCACTCTTGTTAATATGTTGCAGCTGGAGTAAGAATCTTGAATGTTTTTCAGTATTTGTGGCTGTTTTTATTGTCTCATTAAATGCTGCCTTAATGGTTTTTCAGAATGGTGGAAATGAAACATGGATTTGAAAAGAAAGTTATGGTGGATATAAGCTATAAGCAGGGGAGAGATGGCACTATTCTTGATGTGATTGTTCAGGAGATATACCTTTGTGCAAGCATGGAGTTTCTACTTACTGTTGCAGATATATTCCTAAAGGCTAATGCAGAAAGTGCTGCTGCACAAAGAAATCTCAAACAGTCATTACCTTTAAAGGAGCAAGGTATATATTGGAAATATTTAAAAGTTTATATTTAAGTATCTGTTTAATTTTGGTGTTAAAATACTATCTTAAAAATTATAATACTCCTTTTATGCTATTTCCTGTGTTTGTGTGTATAGAACAGCTTCTTTTAACCATTGATGTTTCTTTCTTTGCATCATGGAAATTGGTTCATGTCCTTTCATCTCCATTTCCAAAAGAAGCTTTGTCTTACCAGACAAAGGTAATACCTAAAAATGTTTGTCTAAAATAAAACAAAATGGGAAAGGACAATTACAGCTGATGCTCTATAGGTTTGTTTGGCTATCTTTGCAATCTCAACAAAGTTTAAAATGATGATTACCAGCATCATAATTTTCATCCTCCTGAGAATGATGGAGCATATTATATTATCCTTAAATATTAATTCAGCCTGCCTGATACTGCTGCCTAGAAATTTTGTCATTTCACTTGTCCACTGTTGTATGTTTCTCCCTACATCAGGAAACAAGTTTTCAGTTCAAGGGCCCAATTTGGTCTTTCTAGGGCAGAACCCTATACGTAATACCAGCAATTAGTCCATCAGCACAGGAAATGGGCTATTTTTGCTTCCAGGCCTCAGGTAGTTCACATCAGGTCTGCAAAGCAAGTCCTTTCTTTTTGTTTTTGTTTTCTTTTACCCTAAATACCTTAGTTGTGTCCACCTCAGCTAAGCCTGATGTGATTTTTTCAGTAGGTGATCAAAAGCTAAACAATTTAGGAAGTCTTTCAGAAGGGTATATTGGTACTGCAAATGGTTACGTCAAGCACTAGTAAATGCTGCAGTATTTTCCTATGGAGAAATGTGTACTTTGCTGCTCCAGAGAGCAGAAAACATATCCAGCATTTTCATAAGATCCTGTCATAGATGGATGATATATAGTGAAGCTGATACACCTGCTCATGTCAGAGGTAGTAACAGTGGTGATGCTGTTATCCTTTTCATTTTGACAAAGAAGCTTTGTGGAATCCTTTGTTGTATCTTAAAGTAATTAGAGCTTTAACGGTTTTGTATCTCCAGCAAAGAGCCTAGAAATAAGCCAGTTGCAAGGATCTACAGGTTTTCTGACACCAGCTTTGCTAGATTTTATCACTACATCTTTAAAACTTCTCAAAAAGTTATGTAAATAATGCTAATTTAATCTTTGAACAACTTGTCTAATTTGATTTATATTTTTGAAGCACCTGTGCAGCCTGTATCTACAATGGAAATGAACATTGTTGTTAAAAATCCAGAGATTGTGTTTGTGGCTGATTTAACAAGAAGTGATGCTCCTGCATTGGTGGTTACAACACAGTGTGAGGTCTTCATTAAAAATAGCCCTGAAAGGTATAGCATGACAGCTGCTGTTAAAGAGATACAAATGAAAGCTTGCCCATTTCTTCCAGAGCAAAGGAAAGGGAACATTACTACGGTGAGTTTGCAAACATCCAGTTTATATTTAAAAGGTGCTGTGTAACTTACACCACCAGCATGCAAGTTATTTCTGAAGCTTTCATTATCAGAATCTGTATTACAGACATATGAGTAGAATTTTGTGGCTAATTTATTTGATTGATTTTATTCTGTTTTGTCTGATATGCCAAAAGCATCATCTTGATATGTAGCTTTGAGGTTTGCTTTGTATGACAAGCTAAAATTAGGAGCCTAGAGAAGTAAAATGTTAATAATCTCTTATATCCCATCAAAGCCAAATAAATATAATATTATGAATATACACTATTTCAAATGCAATGTAGTAAATTTGGAATACTTTCAGTCTGAAATTTTGCATTAAGTAGCTATGTAAGTGAATAACAAAGGGTCACAGACAGAATGGGTAGCATGTAATATGAAATAGAATATGTATGGTATGCTGTTCATAAATTTCTTTATGTTAAGGTCCATAGATCCATTATATTAAAACTGCTTGTTTATATTTTGGCAACAGAATCAAGCTTGTTAGTTACTGGCCAGGTGGGAATCCACCGACTGATGGATCTTCTTACAGCTTGTCCGCTTCTACAGCAGACTATACCTCGCTTAGCTCTGTAATGCTATTGTTGTGTCAGAAAAAAAATTAATTTCACTGTATATCCAACTGTTATCTGTGTCTTCAGACCATAGATGAATTTTTAAAAATTAGTCTTCTCAGCTCTGTGTTAATGGTTGCTCACTTCGGGGAGCTACATAGCTCCATAAAGCTATAAGCACAAATGACTGGAACTTCCACTTAATCTCTTTATCAGATACTTTCATAGCAGCTCAGTTTACTCCTCGGTTTACTTCTTGGGCAGACAAAGTCTTTGACTGCGTTAATCTCTGAATGATCCAGTAACTGAGAAAGTGATGCACTTGCACTAATAACCACAACACAATGCAAAGTTGCTTGACTTCTGTTTCCATAGCTGGCGAATGTGGCACAAATGTGATGAGCTTTGTAGAAAGCTCTTAGAAGGCTTTGCACCAAGCTTTTCCTCTCACAGGAACATCTTCTGCCAGAATCTCTTATCTCAGACTGTAGAAGCAGGAAAAAAAGACCTGTATCTGGGAGGATGCTTGTACTATAAAGAAGGAAAAAACTTCAGAGGACCTTAGTTTTGATGCTTAAAGCAGTACCTTTTTTGAAAGATTCAGAAAGTTCTCAATAGAATAGTAGAGATCAAAAATTAAAACATTCTCTGCAGATAGCAGCATAACTGCCCCTTTTGAAAACATGTATATAAGGAAATCTCTGAAGTCAGGTTTTCTGTAAACAATACAATTACAGTCTGGGAAAATAATCTGAGAAATAGATGGCCTTCTTTAATCAAGAAAGAAAATCTATGATATGAAGATATATGAAGATTATCAAATTTCTGAAGGCTGATACTGATGTGAAGATTTTATATTGCTTAAACTTTGTACATTAGTGATGGATGAATTCATCTTCCTGATGAAGAGATTTCCCCCGACACCCAGGAAACTAGCCTCTGGATTTGGAGTAGCACAACTGATAAGGCTCTTTCTGTACATTTGTCATATGTACCTTGGTCTAAAGAAGAGTATGTTATTTTTCATTCCTGGCTGTAACACAGAAGAAGGAAAAAAAAATACAATTTGACCTGCAGAGGATAAAATAATAACGTGGACAAAAAATACTGTTAGATCAAACTCACTTGGGAAAAGTGTGGAAAAACTGGTTCATGGTGTTTCTACATCCCTAGCCTCAGATTCAGATATGGACAGAGATGTCAGGAAAGACAGCAAAATCAATATAGTTTGAAATTACCATTTTTGAAAGACTTGTCTTCTCATGTAGGGACTGGAGAGCAAATTTTCCTGTCAATCAGTAGAGTCTACCTACATCAGAGTGCTTTATTAATCCCATAGCACTCTGATTTTGTTTGTAGTGTAACTTAGATTTGGTTTTGGTAAACCTTGGCAAATGGGAGTATGCAAGGTCTGCTTGTAAAATAAAGCTGGAACTGAGTGATTGTGATTCAAACAGTAATATATTAATGCAGAAAAACTGGTGTTTTAACTGAAAAGTCTGGTTCTCCTCAAAAGTCACAGGCATGATGACTGCAGTGTATTTGAAGACATCTGCAGACTTTACCTAAAGAATGGAGTTACTGAAGTGTAATGCATTTTACTGTAGCTGACATTTGAATCTTTAATGATTGAGAATGGCTGAGGTGATGCCTCTGATACTTTTTTCTTTACGTTTTAACATGTTATTAGTGTTCAGGTTACTCTTAATTTTGAGGAGTCAAATTGTGGTAACTTTTCCTTTCAGTGCATAGTATTTACACATTTTCGATGTGTACTATTTAGAAGTGTATGATTTTTAAAAGATTTTTTTTCTCTAACACATGTTTTTACTCTTTTGTGTAGGTATTACAGCCTTGTGACTTCTTCTTTGAAATGAAACAGTCAGGTACTGATCCACAGACAGCTGATCTAACGATTAAATCTCTAACAATAAAAGTAGGTAGACTTTCATTGTGCTTTTAGTTCTCTACTACTTCCTGCCCAGCAGGCTTTGAAGTTGCTTGTGGGATATGTTCCTTAAAAAAGTAAAATCAGGAATGACTGAAGTGAGGAATTGTTTCTTCATTAGGTCACCTACCTGTTTAGCATGTGACAACAAAGAAAATTGAAAACTAACAGTGATGTCACGTTGCTTTGGTTTTGGAATCTGTGTTTTATAGAATGGCTTAAAGTGCAGAGATAAGTTTTGAAGTGTTCAGATAGAGCTTCAGAGGTTGAAAATCTGAATAGGTTGAACTGTACCTTGTGGAAAGGAATGAGTTTTTAAATATAAGAGTCCTGTAGAGAATGTATATGTGTTGTTAGTATAACATATTTGTTATAGTTTTGTGTCTGAGAGTAGCTGACTGTTTCCTGTACTAGCTTCCCATTTCCAATTATTCCAACTACTTATTTGCAGGTTTCACCAATAATCATAAACACAGTAATTACTATAACATCAGCCCTCTATCAAACTACAGAAACAACAGAAGAAGAGATTAGTCAAATTCCTCCAGATTTGTGGAATAAGAAAGATATAAAAACCTAAAAATGTGGTTTCTTGAAGAGTCAAATGAAAATGAAGATACAAATCCAACTGCTGAACTGGTTCCCACAGGAGAGTCATTGAAAATGAATATAGAATCTGTTTTTCTAACACTTGAAGCTGGGGTTGGGCACCGAACTGTACCAATGCTTTTAGCCAAGTCCTCATTTATTGGAGAAGTCAAAAACTGGAGTACTCTAATCAACCTACGTTCTCGTCTTGGTCTAGAGGTGAGGAATCCTACGTAAGAAAGATTTTCTTAAGATTTTAAACCTGTTATGTTATTTAGTCAATAAAAGAAAAATAATCTGTATATCTGATGACTAAAGTACTGCAGATACATATTGTGGGAATAGGATGGGAATAAGGTGTTAATGTAGTTAAAATGAATCTGATGCATTAGATGTAATGTATTTATCGCAGTAATTGGTGTTATACAGTAAGTCTCAGATTTGTACTCTAAACAAGTTCCCAAAGGCCTGTTGCATCAATATTAAATTTTGGAGTAGCAACTACCTAAAACTGTTTGACAATTTTTGTTTAAGATTACAGTAGAATATACTCATGTGTCATTTCCATAAAATATTATGTGGTACCAGTATTGTACATAGAACATCCAAACTGGCTCATACTTGGAAATTAGCAGCATAAAATTCAGTGGTTGTTGTAGGTAGATTCTTCCCTATTTATAGGGCTTTAGACTTCCAGTGCCTACAGTTTAAGCCAAAATTACATTTTAAGTGACACATCTTACACAACTTATTTGGAAGTGGGTCTGTGCAGTAGAGACTTAGCTTCCTCATTTATTTCTCTAATGCACTGACTTCATCTTAAGAGGGAGCTGAAAGTGCAATCTGATTATAAATCTTATATTACTGAAGTAATTAATATACTTGTAAATCGGGATTTTAAGTCTTTAAAATCTGTAGACTTAGCAGTTGTCTGTAATTTCCTAATTGACTTCTGCATTTTGATAGGTACACTATTTTAACGAGATGTTTGGCGTGTGGGAACCTTTGCTTGAACCACTGGAAGTTGAAAAGACTGATTTTTTCAAACCATGGACTCTTGAAATCAAGGTATATTTTCCAAAGCTGAACTTAGATCTTCCATTTCAATACCTTAGAAGAAACAAATGTTTTGCACCTTTCATTACTGAGACTAATCTAACAATTTCGTTCCTTCCTGTTGATTACTGAGACTTTTTTTCCCAGTTGGTGAATGAAACCAGCTTTTCACAAGTGAAGATCCATCCAGACTCACGGATCTGTTAAATAATGTCTTTCGGGTGGCAAGCAGATTTAATTCCAGTTGCACTAGGTATTCATAATGGCTTTATATCAGTTTCTCTAAGGTTAGGTCATATGCTAATGATGTATTCCGTGACTTTGGAAAGATAGAATACCACTTGTCTCATTCCATGGTAGCGTCTATAGCAGAAATGTATTGGAAAAACGGATACTTGTTATTGACTAGCACAAAGTGCACTGTGGGAATAATGCTCTTACCACTTCAGTTCTGTCTTTCATAAGGAAATAGTCTAGATTTTGGTCTCAAAGTAGATAAGCATTTAACTAAGGAAGGGAGAATTTTTTTTTTTTTCCACTTTCCTTCTGTCTTAACTGTTCTATTGCATTGTTTGCTGATTTTTTTCAAAAATTTTCAAGTTTTTTTTTAGCCTGAGAGGTTGCTTAGAATGGAAAACCCACCCTTTTTCTTAGAGCTGTCATCAAACAACTTTCTACAGTAATGACCTCAGAAGGGTAAAATTATCACCTGAGATACTGGAATTAAGAAACTGTTATTAAAAATATTCCTAAGAATTTTTCAGAAATACACGACACCTAATGCAGGAGAAAGGTAGAAGATACTGAGTCAAGCCTCCCATCTTCTTGCTCGTATTTGAAATGTAACACTGGAAATAAAGAATTTCCAGAAATGTTGATGGCAAAGAAAATGTATTACATGTGATTTTTATTCTTTTCCTTCAAACAAATGAAAACATACAAAATAAATATTTGGTTTGGAAACGTAATGAATAAATTTGGGGTTACTGTTTTAAGTGTAGGAAGTCAATTATGTATAATAGTTTTTACACAGTGTTATTAGATATGTTAAGATGAATGTTTTCACATAACATTTACTGGATATGTTAGTAGTTAGTATGTAAGTATACGTTCTTTATTTTTGAACAATCATAAATTTTTAGCTACTATTATTGGAAATTCATTGAGTTCTGAAATATATCTTTTGCCTCTTGCCTTCTTTATTCTCTCCTGCTTTTGTTTTTATTTGAGAATAAGAACTTGAATAAAAAAATGAAAACCATGACAGAACATAGAAGTGGGAAAGGGAGAGAAAAAGAGTCTTGAGATGAAACTTGCTTCTACACAAGGAGTGGTCAGATAAGAATTCTTTAAAAATCTCCTTTCAGATGAAGAAGAAGGCTAAAAAAGCTTTGGTTGAATCAGATGCAGAAGAAGAAAACTACAAAGTTCCAGAATATAAAACAGTAATACATGTTTCCTCAAAAGACCAGCTGAACATTACACTGTCTAAATGTGGGCTACAAATGTTGAGTAACTTGGGCACGGTAAGAAAGATTATTTAGCTGTGCAGTCTCACAGCTGTTAAATGAACGTTTGCACAGATTGTCTTGATGAAATTTTATTCAGTATATTTGTGTTTTATATCTATACTTTGCTTTCTAGGCATTTGCTGAAGCAGCTAGTCAAACTTCAGACATCTTCAAAAAAGATCGAGCACCATTTGTAATAATAAATTCTTTAGGACTTCCCATCACTGTCTCGCCTAGTGATTCCTTTAGTGTCCTTAATGTTGAATTTGGAGCAAAATTATTTCATTTAAGAGATGGAGAGAATTTAAATATGGAATTTGTCAGAACTAAAAATGAGAGTGACCAGTTCACAGCAATGACAACTCTGAGTAGCAAGAGGTTTTACATTCAGATCTGTAAGTTCCGAAGCTTATACATACATTGTTTTTGTGAATACTGCATGATGCATAATACTGCATCTTGCACAGGTAAATAAGTATTGGGGGACTGCATAACATGGAAGGTGTGTTTCTTTGGATTCTGGATATGTGGCAGTATTTGAAATCCTACTTTAGTCTTTGTATCTAAAAGTTACATGTACCATGCTTATTAATTTTTGTAGCATATTTTTTCTACTATAATAAATTATTTAGGTAACTAGCCTTTATTTCATAATTTTACTGCAATCAAATATATGTGTTTGTAATCACACATTAATGCCGAATTAAGCTGCCCAAAATAATTTTTTTTGGTAGAATTTTGAGGCCTGTATATATGTGTGTTCATAGAAGAAGTTACTCGTAACGGGGATGTTTTTAAGAAAAGATTGTTTTAAATAATGTAAAGTAAAGTAAAACACAGTTAAAGCTAAAAGTAAAATTTAGCTATTTTTAATGGTTTATGTGTTAAATAGTTATGTAGATTTATTGTTTTTCAGCACTGGTTTTTCAGTCTGGTCTTGACCATATGATTTATTAGTTGAATTGTTTTTGCAATATGTATGAGCTGTACCTTGTTCATAAGCAATTACATTTGGTAAACTTTTCTCGTTAGGCACCAGTTTTATTTGCAGTGGGAAAAGCCACCTAAATATTTGAGTAACAGACTCATTTACTTTTTCCTGTAGTGAACAAAAAAATCTTTGCTGTTTCTTTAATATCACTGCAAGATTGGCATATTAAAAGTGGTGACTACTTTTTTACCTGCTTTAAATTTTTTAATAGATTGAAAGATACAGAAGATTCTGTTGAATGCACATTTGTGTCTTTCAAATGTATCTTTATGCTCCTTTTGAATCTTTAATTTCTCATCTTGTAAATCCTAGGTCCACATAATCATTCCACTGTGGAAAAGATTCCATTGACAAAAGTGGGTCGATGTATTTACAGTGTGAGACATGAGGAATCAGGTGTTGAAAGGTTCATTGTCTGCCAAATTGATACTGTTGAAGGAAGCAAGATGATAACTATACGTTCTCCTGTTCAGGTTATTATATTTCCATACATTATAATTTAATAATTATTTAAAATTTTTAATGAATGAAAATGTTCCTGTATTCTTTAAATACACATTTTAAAAAACATATTTTTAAAACTTATCTGAACAATTCATGTAACTTTGCTGTTGTGTATTATAAGGTATTTTAGAAGAAATTTTCAAGAATAAAAGCTTTTTCAAAGTGACAAAGGCAGGAGTTGGGTTGCGGGTGAAAACGGACCAGATTTGAGATCAGGATAATTCATCAGTAATGTTTTCTGCTACTAGCTCTAATTTCAGTCTTGTTGAACTTTTTGCTTTGTGTCAAGAAACCTCTCTTAACCTTACCTTGGTTCCACAAGGTTATCCTTCTATCAGATTATTTATTCTACTTCATCCTGTACCACTGATACATGAATTTCACGTTTAGTACCAAGTCAGCTGAAGAGCGAGCCCTTTTGAGCATCTTTTGATTTAGTAGTATTTTTGATAGACGTTACGTAGTTTACAAGTGCAGGGATGGTCCAGTGATAGTGTCTGTGTTACATTTCACTTGCTGCTTTTGCCCGGAGTGGTTTATGACTTGGTTAATAACAAGATTCACTGTTTATTCTTCCCTAAATTAAATCTTTTTTTTTTTTTTTTCCAGACCTAGTAATGCCATTAAATTAACCTGAAATAATAATAAAAAAATGTTTGCAAAGAACAGAAGAACTATATAGCCCCCAGATTATAATGGATGTTGGTGATTTAACCTTAAATAGATGTTGTACTTTCCCTTGTGCTTTCTGCTGTATAGATTTTGACCCACACACCCTTGCATCTGTTATTTGTTGGAGAAAGTTCTTTGGAATGTTATCAGATTTCCTTGTCTTTGGTTTTATAGGGCTTTATGTTTTTCCTTGAAAAGAATTTTACAGCTAATGTATTAATTTCATAACTAAATATAGCATTTAAACTGCACAACCAAATAATTTAAGGCAGTTTGCTGATATTAGGGACAGTTTTCTTGAAATACCTGACTTTGAATGCTAAATGGGTAAGATGAAAAATTAGAGTTCTCATTCTATGCTCTGTTAGGCTCAAAACACTTTATCTTTCCATTTTTTCCTAATGTATGTTGCTGGATTTTTATTTCATGTAGATAAGGAATCATTTTTCAATCCCATTAAATATTTTTGAGGAAGGAAGATGTTTAGGAACTGCTTCACCAGAAAATGAATTCAACATTCCATTGTCCTCTTACAGGTACGTTACTGCATTCTTCTTTTAGCATGGAATATGTTTATATGTTGTTGATCATTGTATCCATACTGTTATGCTAAACAAAAAAAGTTTCCCTTTGCTACTTAATACTGTAATTAATACTGTACTGTTCTTGGGTAGGATCTTCTTAGAGCATCTAATCTGAGTTAAACAGAATACTATTTCTTATATTGGAAGTCTTTTGAAATCCATTTTACCAAACAAATTAGCTAAATTACTTTAAATCCAAGCAAAGGTACTTCTGGAACATGGTGACTGCTATCCACACAGTACAGACCTTTTTTCTTAGTGGAGGAATGTCCAGTGATGTGTTACAACTTTTTTTTTTTTTTTAAGGCTCTTCTCGTTTTTGTGATTCTGAAGTAAAAAATTGAAACTAATACAATTAAACTCTATCACAGAGGTAGAAAAAGGCTTGTCAACCTTAGAACGACTTGACTTCCAGCATAGCTATGCCATTAGCACCTTCAAGCTAATACCCACTTAAAACTACAGTGAGTTTGTATGTATAATTTAGTTTAGCTGTCACCAGCTTTTAGGCAGATAAGTTTGCTTTGATTGTTTTTTATTATAGAGACTTTTTCCTTCTGTTTTCCCTCAAACACTCTATTTTTTTTTAAGTTGACAACTTTGTATCTTTTTTGTTAAATAAGTAACACTTTACTGTAGATAAGTTCATTAATACTTCTAACTATCTGTATTTTATTTAATAAGGTTTAGTGACATTCTGATTCATTGCACAGATATATGGGTAAGTTCCACTAAGCAGTCAGGAAATGATTGCTAACAAAAATGTTCAGCCAAGAAAGCAGCTGATTGGATTAAAGCAGTTGTCTTACAAAAACCATGTGTGTAAATAATCCATAAACCTGATGCTTTATGTGACTGGAAAAATGTGCACTTTCTGCACATCTGTCATAAGAGTGAATTGTTTATCCAGAGATTTTGCTTGGAGCAGGAATATAGCAGCACTTGTAAGGAAGTTCAATAGTTTCTTCATAAGAATCTCCAACACTCCCGTCTTTGCAAGGGAAGTATATGGAGTTATGGACAAAAATCCCAACTGGTACAATTTTATGATTTTTTTGGGATCCAGACCACCTTTTGCTTCCTCCTTTAAGTGAGAGAGAGGCTGGCAGTGAATTACTGTCAGAAATCTTCCAAAGTCCAAATAATACTAGAGTGTTTGTGTTGCATAGTATTTTTTCGTAATTGAAAAATTCAATCTCATATTGATTGTTTAAAAAATGTTTTCATTTACAGATCCGTACTGAGTTTGCAACCGCTAGCCAGTGAAAATGGAGTGGATGGAGAATATGATATGTGTGAAGGAATTACATTTGATGAAATTATGAAAAATGTTGATAGTTTATTACAAAGGAAATGCCAGTCTGTGAGGTCAACTAACCACTCACTTATCATCAATATTGTTCCTGTAAAAGACACGTTGACATCTTCATTATATGCAGATGATCAATGGGATTTTCCATATGTTGTTCATTTATGGCCTTCTGTTCTTCTTCGCAATCTTCTTCCTTATCAAATAACTTATTCTGTAGAGGTAATTCTTTAATGTTTAGTTTTTTGATAATGTTTCCCACCTAGGATATGAAAGCTGAGCAGCTGCTTGAAGTATGTTTATAAATGGATATTAAAAGAAAAGGCTTCTGTTAGAGTATTTGTGAAGCAAGTTTACAGATCTTGTAAGGGCAAGTCTGTACCCATTGAAATGGAACAGTATCAGAATGTGAAAAGTGGTGGTATTAATCATTAGTAATAAGTCATAGTTTAGGTACATATGCAAAGTAAAACTTCCACTGTACAAGTTTAGCCTTGTGAGAAAGTAACTTTCTGTTGCTCATGTGCAACTTGAGCCTAATTAAGCAGTGTGGTTTTT